ATGTTGCTTTCATGCCGGTTCGAGCTCAGGCCAAAAGACGATTTTCAGCCTGTGATAGAAGAGGTGAGGTAATGTGATGGAATCTGATGGAATGTATTGTATGTCGGACGGCTCGTGTGCATTCGTGCGCTAGCATACATTTCTATATGTTCTATTCATGTTACCTCTCAAGTCAAGCTGCCCGTCCAGGTGGCAGGCTTTGCAGAAAATCAGGACTATGGCGTTGGTTTCAACACTTGGACGTCAGGTCAAAAGGCCGGGGCAGACTTGAAGCAATGCGCAGCCCCAAAACAAAGCCTTATCTGTCTTATCTAATCAGTTGGCAGCAACTAGTCTATGGTTTTGGCGTTTGCAGTTTGCGTGTACATGACAGGGGTAACACAGGTCATATTATGTACTGTAATAGTGTACTATAGTCAGTGTCCTACTTGCTTGCAGATGCTACAATTCAATATGTTCATTTCATTGTTCCACCTTCTGGCCGTGTCACACTGCAGGGTATCGTCATTTGGGGAGCTCTGGGCATTGCGGCCTTTGTGTTGCTGAGTGCATACTCCTGGGAGTGAGATATGTTGACCAAAACTAGAAAAGCGCGGCAGCTTAAAGCCTGAGTAGGATGAAACATGAAAACTGTTTGCTCAAGCATTTGTTTTATGCTGCTTTGGTCATGTTTGGTCTTTGTGCTGCTTTTTCTGAGCATGCCGAGCATTAAGTCCTATTCAGGAGTTGGCTGGATGCATTCAACCTGTTCTGTATTTGTATATAGTTTCGGATAGCAGCAGGACTCCAGTTCCTCATGACACAATTACTGTCGTCATCAATCTCACCAGCGTCAGAGTCAGAGCCACCACGACTGTCGCCGCTCATTCGGAGTATCAACACTAGAAGTTGCCCCAATTCTCTTGTCGGCTCCCATCACATCTCAACTCATGTCGTCACTCAACCTAGCTCGGTTTACTATGTTTGTTTATGGGGCTGAAAATGAAAACAATATTCATGCTTGACTTGACTTTGGGGTTGGTCCTCATGTTTGGCCTTTCCGTCGTGCAGATCATGACCTGGCCATTCTTGAATTCATGGCAGGTATGCAGTGGATAGAATCAGGATGTGTTATGATGTGTAGTATGAGAACTGGAGGACCACACAATGCGCAGCAGTTTTCGCCGAAATTGCAGCATATTTTCTGTAGAAAGTTGGGGAACAAAGTCGCTCCAAGCTCCAAACTTCCGGATGCGAAAAGCCATGCTTTGCGCAGCATGTTTCATACGGTTTTGGTGCTGGCAAAGAATGTCTTAGGCTGAAACCATTCGAACACCCAGCACCGCAAACAGGTGGCTGGTGAGTTTGCTGCATTTGCAGAGGCTGGCGGAAGCATCGAGATTTGATTGGATTGACAAAGCCGCTGAGTTGTTTTGTTGTAAGCTTTGTGGTTTGTTTTAGATTCTCAAGTCCTTCACATGTACTATGGCTTGCGAAGGACTATGCACAAGCATCTGGCCTTCTGAATGAGGCGGAGATGAGTCCTGAAAGGTCATGATTTCACACAGAAAGCCGACAAGAGTCCAATTTCTGAAGGCCCTGGACTTGTTCAATATTGAAAAAGACGAGAAGGCAGGTGAATGCAACACTTTGTTTATATATAGCTGTCTAGTCTTCAGCTTCTCAGATTTCTGCGGCTCTTGGATTTGGAAAAATCCATCCGGAATCCGAGCGGAGAGCATGAGGTTGATGGTTTGGTAAAGCACTGCAAGGAACTCAAGGAGTCCGACTCACCGGAAGAGAATGGAAGACACTTGAACAGATTTGAATCGCTGCTTAGTACGAAAGATTTGCAAAAGATTGCGTTGGGCAAGTGTACATGCATGCCGCATACCGCATACCCTTTAGATACGTCCTTTTACATTCACACGCTCGCATATGCACTTTTGCAAACATGCAGGCGGCCCATGCTCCAGCAGGCAACACAACATCAAACGCACTTCTCATGCAAAACGCATCAGGTTAGGGCAGTTTGCGCTGGAGGTTTGGAATGAAATGCTGAGACTGGGAGGGCTACAGAGTGGGTGCGTGCACATTTTTGCCTGGGCCGTTGGGATAGTTTGGGTTGGTCTTTGGGATGGTCATGGCCACTTGGGTGGCGCTGGTTTCGGCCTGCAATGCGGCCAGAGGCTGCATTAAGGGTGTGCATATCGGATTAATGCTGGCTATGGTTTTATAATGTTCAATTTGTTAGAAATCTTTCATATGTGGTTGATTTTGCTTGTGTTTGTTTGCTTGCGCTTTGATGTCAGGGTAATTGGTGTGCACCCATTGCAGGAGTTTTGTGATGCCTCCATTGCGCAGTCTGCAGCCAGTCCAAAGAAGTGAAGGGCGCCTGACTTGGCATTTGAGCAAAAAAAGGTGAGATGTTGCGAGAACTGTATCATGGACCATGATGGACATTATACAGTTTGGATCATTTTGGAACAGTTTGGATCTTAAATCTCTGCGCCTCTTAAATCTCTTGGATGCAGCTGCACATGATTGTTTAAGCCGGGCCCACATTCACACAATCCCTGGATGGACAACCTGCTCAAGAAGATTTGGGAGTAGAGTGCCAAGCCTTGGAGACCTTTCAAAAAGAAGGCTGGATGATGAGAATGGAAAATTGCTGGCATGTTGAAGATTGTTGAAGTATTTGCATGTATTTGCTTGGTTTTTTCCAGCATGATGTGTGTTTCAGTCATGTCTCTTGGAGAGGAGCAAAAAGAAAGCAAGAAAAGAAGGAAGTAAGAAGGAAGTAAGCAAGGGCAGAAACAATTCAGTAGAAGGACAGAAGCAACACCTGATTGCGGAAGGTCCACTCTGAAAAACCTGTCCACACATGCTTTGTTCAGCACGAGTTTTCTTGCTGCTGGTGGAGTCGCTGTTCTTGTTGATATTGTCATTGCTGCTGTTGCGTGCGATGCGGCTATTCCTGTCATGAGACTGTTGCTGTGGCGGCTGCGTTGTTTCTGCTATCGTTGTCTGAATGCCGGGCTTCTTTGTCTATTCTTGCTGATTTCGTAAAAGTAAAAGTGGAGGTAGCAGCGTGTCCAGCAGTAGTTACAGTTTGACAGTACTTACTGTATTGTTCTTTTCGCATCTTTTCGCTGTTGGTTTTTGGTGACAGAGCTTTTGCAGCGCTTTCTTTTGTGTGATTGTCATGATTATCTTTTCTGTTCTTCGTGTTCACTGCACAGTGCAAAATCCAAAGTAGGAACAGTACTGAGAGCAGCCATCAAGAACATCAAGAACATCAAGAACATCAAGAACATTGTGTACGGCACACCGAAAATTAAGAAGTTGTGGCAGCCTTGACACGACGGGACAAAGGACAAAGACGCTGACAAGGAATGCGAGGGTGATTACCACCCCCCTTCACCACAACCAGAACCACATGCAGAACCACAAGAACAAGCGAATATAGCGAATGAAAGAATAGCAGCAAGAACAGGGGGCAATAGAAACAGCAAGAACCACGAGAGCACAAACGAAATTGCACCGCAACTACCAAGATAATCGCAACAGCAGCAAAGTTAACAAAAGGCCAGCCGTCACAGCGACCAGGAGGTGGACAACGGCAATTACAATGACAAGGACTGCACCGATCAGCAAGGACAGCAAGTGACAGCTACAGCCACAAACAACAAGAAACAACATTAACCCAGCTTCGCAACCCAACAACAGGTTCCAGGGTTCCGAGGCTGCAATGTCACCAGGCAAGGTTCCAAGGTTTTGCAGGGTTCCAAGATTCCACAGTTGCAGGTTTCCAGGATTGCAAGGTTGCAGATTTCGAGAGTTCCAAGGTTCTAGAGTTCTAGATTTCCAGGGTTCTGGGGTTCCAAGTTTACTTGTAAGGGTCTTGGTTTGATTCATCAACAACGAAATGACCAGCGCAATGCACTGGAAACGCAAAACACAATAAAGCTGCTTCAGTTTAGCTAAAGAACACAGCGTGAGCAGTAACTCTCCAGTTTCGCACGGTGCAAGGTTCAAAGTTTTTCACGGGACTCAGTTTCCAGGTGGCTCGGGTTGCAAGAGGCCAAATTTGGGGCTCAACAATTCCATGACCCTAGACCTCATACTTCCAACACTCAAAATTTCCTGATTCCAAGATTCCATGGACCAAAAAATTCAAAGTTTCAGGTAAAGCTTGAGGGTTCCCAGTGCAGGTTCCAGATTTGCAAAGAGTCGAAAGTTCCAGGGTGTTCTAGAGCTCCAGAGCTGCAGGATTCTAAGGTTGCAGGGTTACAAGGTTCAAACCAAGGTTGCAGGTTTCCATGGTTTCAAAGCTCCAAGATTTCAGAGTTCCGGGGCTACAGGGTTCCAGAGCACAAACCCTTTGCTGGAGCCCTTGCAGGAAGAATAAATTCCGATTCCGAAACCATATTTCGACGCTTCCGCAACCAAATTTCGGCGATTCCGCAACCAAAATCAGACACGCTTCCGCAACCAAGAAAAGGCGCTTCCGCAACCAAAAAGAAACGATTCCGCAACCACAAAAAAGACGATTCCGCAACCAAAAAAAGGCGATTCCGCAACCAAAACACAAGGATTTCGCAACCAAAAAAAGGCGATTCCGCAACCACCATCCGCGCGACTCAGAAACCAACATCCGCGTCACACTTGCGGCCACAGTCAACATAGCATCGTCTCCAGATGCGGGGGGGTGGGGTGGGGTGGGGTGGAATAACGTCCTAGCAGCTGCGTTCCTTCCTTTTGACACACTGGCATGCAGCCACACTTGCAACATGGCATCGTCTCCAGATGCAGGGGGGTGGGTGGGGTTGGGGTGGGTTCTCCAGATACGTGGGGTGGGGTGGGAAAATAACGTCCTGGCAGCTGCGTTCCTTCCTTTGACACACTTGCAGCCACACTCAACATGGCACGTCAACATCAACATGGCATCGTCTCCAGATGCGGGGGGGTGGGGTGGGGTGGGGTGGGATAATAACGTCCTGGCAGCTGCGTTCCTTCCTCTGACACACTTGCGGCCACATCAACATGGCATCGTCGGGGGTGGGGGGGGTGGGGTGGGATAATAACGTCCTGGCAGCTGCGTTCCTTCCTTTGACACACTTGCAGCCACACTCAACATGGCATCGTCTCCGGATGCGGGGGGGGGGGTTGGTGGGGTGGGTGGGATAATAATCGGATAATAACGTCCTGGCAGCTGCGTTCCTTCCTTCGACACACTTGTGGCCACACTCAGCATGGCATCGTCTCCAGATGCGGTGGGGTGGGGTGGGGTGGGATAATAACGTCAGGCATGTATCTAGATGACACAGCCAAGACGATGCTTCGAAAAAAAAAGAAATGCACACCGCTTCATTGCTAAACCATGCCATTTTGGTTTCCAGGTGTCCTTGGTTTCGGAATCATCCTTGGTTTCAGAATCCATTTTTTTGGGTTTCAGAATCATTCTTGGTTGCAGAATCATCGGTTTTGGTTTCAGAATCATCCGGTTTTGGTTGCAGAATCATCCTTGGTTTCGGAATCATTCCTCAGCCTTGCAGGAATTCTTTGCAGGAAGTCTTGCAGGTCTTGCAGGAACCTTTCCGGACGCCTTAACAAAACTTGCGGATTTAGTTTGAGTTTTGTTTTATTAGTTTGCATTTTTCTTTGCTTAATGCGCGGGACTGCTTCATGTGTCACTAAATAGACCCTGGCATCATGGAACCCTGAAACTTCAAAGTTTTGGAACCCTTTAATCTTGAATGAATCCTAGAACCTTGGAAACCTGCATCCTTGGGATCCTGGTGCAAGCTTGGAAATTTGCCCCGTGACCTTGCAACCTTTGAACCCTGGAGAGCAAGGTTCATGCAGGGTTCCAGCGAAGGTTCCTTCAAAGGCTCAGGCAAGAATTCCAGCATCACAGTTTCAGCAAGGGATCATCGTCTTTAATTGCCTGCCACAAAAAGCACCACCAAGAAAATCCAGAAGTTGTCCTCGTATAGGTTCCAGCAAGGTTGCAAAGCAGTTCCAGCAAAGTTCAAGCCAGACTTCCAACCTCACAACCCGGCACATTAAGCAAAGCAAGAACCAATGTAAAAAGAAAAACGAAATCGACACCCGCATTGAATTGGCCCCCAGCAAAATGTTCCAGCAAGGTTTCACCAGTTTCCAGCAGGTTCCAGCAGAGTGTCAGCAATGTTCCAGCAAGGTTCCAGCAATGTTCCACTGATCCAGCGAGGTTCCAAAGGTTTTCCAAGCAGTGGTCCGGCTTTCCGGGGCATGCATTTTGCTGACACCGCTCCTCGCCCCAAAGATTGAAACCCAACAGAATCGCCGTTGGGCTGTTGGGAATAGGACAGCATTCCATCAAGGTTCAAAGAATCTTCATCATTAAGTGCGCGCCCTGCCCCCCCATTACCCGTAGCAGCCCAGCACATTAAGCAAAGGAAGAATCATTGAAACAAAGCAAACAACAAAACAAAAAAACACATAAAACATAAAGCTCTAAAACTTGCCTTCGGGCTCAAAATCACACCTAGACACCGTAACCAAAGCGGAAACACAAAAGTTCCAACAAGGTTCCAGGAAGGTTCCACAAGGTTCCAGGAAGATTCCCGCACAGTTCCAACAGGAAGGTTCCACGAAGGTTGCAGCAAGATTCCAGCAAGGTCCCAACAAGGCCCCAGAAAGGTTCCAGGACGTTCCAGCAACGTTCCGGCACGGCTCCAGCAAGTTCCAGGATTGTTCCGGTTTTTCGGGGCGTGCATGTTCGTGTCACCACTCCCGGGCCCCAGAGATTGAAACCCAATAGGCTCGCTTTTGGGAATTCGCATGCATTAGCAACATTAGCAGCAGCTTTAATGACGGCAACACCTATCAAAACAACCAGGAACAGATTGTCAACAGACGAAAGACAGCGACGTGTTTCTCTTGTAAGGTTGAGTTTAGTCTACAAAAAGTTAAAGGTTCAAGATCGAAGAGTTGAACCAATACGGAACCGAAAGCTGGTTTTGAAAAATTATCCCGGCAAGAGACCCCATACATCCCCATACAGTGTGGGGGGGTGGGAGGATAATGTATGATCAGGATGTTCGAAGGAAGTTTAGAAGTCAAACTTCCGACAATATGGACAGATGAAAAGCAGAGCAGGGAAGATGCAGAGAGAAGAGAAAGATTAGAAGAGAGAAGAGTAGAAGAGAAAGAGTCAGAAGAAAGAAGATACAGATGCGCGAAAAGGTAGGAAAGTCGCGATTCACTGTGTTTTTCCAATGATTTGTGGCTCCGGAGGTCGAAAAGTAGGCTCGCTAAAGCGGCGGGTGCGGAGCCAGCTGGCCAGATGAGAGATGAAAAATTGCACGCCGTTGTGGCGCGAAGCACATTTCCAAGTCAAAATATACAAAACACCAGGGGTTCGGACCACTTTTGGAAGTTGAGATGTCGAAAAAGTGCACGCCGTTGTGGCGCGAAGCACATTTCCAAGTCAAAATGTACAAAACACCAGGGGTTCGGACCACTTTTGGAAGTTCAGATGTCGAAAAAGTGCACGCCGTTGTGGCGCGAAGCACATTTCCAAGTCAAAGTGTGCAAAACACCAGGGGTTCGGACCACTTTTGGAAGTTGAGATGTCGAAAAAGTGCACGCCGTTGTGGCGCGAAGAACATTTCCAAGTCAAAATGTACAAAACACACCATTCTCGGACCACTTTTGGAAGTTGAGATGTTGAAAAAGTGCACGCCGTTGTGGCGCGAAGCACATTTCCAAGTCAAAAGTGTTAAAAACTGACGGTTTTCAGCCTTTTTGAGTGAAGATGTCGAAAAGTAAGAAACGGATTACTTAACTAACTTGACTAACGTAAACTACTTCCACTAATTAACTACCCTAACTTCGACGCAACAGCAACAGCACAAACAACACAACAACACCAACCACAACAACTAAACTACAACAACTACAATACAACAATACAACTACAACAACTACACAACAAATACACTACAACTAGCACTACAAACGACAACACAACTACAACAAACAACAACAGCAACCAAAACAACAAATACAACTACAACAAACTACAACACAACTACTACTACTATAGTCCTACTACTACAACTGGTACACTACACAACAACTACAACCACACAACAACTACAGCTACAACTACAACAACAACAACAACAGCAACAACAACAACAACTACAACTACAACTACACAACAACTACAACTAGAACTACGACTACAACAACTACAGCTACAACAACAACAACTACTACAACTACAACTACAACTACTACTACAACAACAGGAACAACAACAACTACAGCTACAACAACTACAACAACAACTACTACTACTACTGCTACTGCTACTACTACTACTACTACTACTACTACTACACTACACAACAACTACAACCACACAACAACTACAGCTACAACAACAACAACAACTACTACAACTACAACTACAACAACTACAACTACAACTACAAAACAACTAGTTACAACTATATGACTGCAACTACACTACACTAATTACATTACACCACAACTACAACTCCACTACGCTACAACTACAACTACAGTTGCAGTACATCACACTACATCCAGCAGTTTGTGGGTGAGGTGACCACTGCAACCATTGCAACCACTCCAGCAAACACAACTCCAACCACCTTTCGGTCAATCAGTGGATTCGCTCTGCCATCCGTGATTCACAACAACGAACGTCTCCTATAGGTTTCCTATTCTGAAACTTCCGCCACCGCCTTGTGCAGTACTACTGGTAATATGATGTTAATTGATGATCATGATGATGAGGATGATGATTTTGAGGAGGATGAGGATGAGGATGATGGTGCGGAAGATGAAGTGGAGGATGATAACGTGGAGGATGATGATGTTGAGAAGGAGGACGATGATAATGTTGAGGAGTAGGATGAAAAGGATGATAATGTTGATGTTGCGGATGGTGAGGTGGAAGTTAATGATGTTGAGGACGATGAGGTCAAGGAGGAGGAAGTTGATGATGTTGAGAATGTTGATGTTGAGGAGGAGGAAGATGATGATGTTGAGGAGGAGGAGGAAGAGGAGGATGATGATGTTGAGGAGGAGGATCCCAAGACCGGGGCCACACTTTGTGCGAGCCTGCGCAGACGAAATGCATTTGGACATTGCGCAAGAGCCATTTTATGCGGAATTTTTAATAAATTTTACAAGTAAAATGCCGCCGACCAGCTCAAGCACCGGCTTTTACTCTTGCCGTAAGCACACCTCAGTGTGGACACACTGTTTGGGGAATTTCACCAGAGCCACTTTATACATAGATTTACAGGAAGAACGCCGCGCCACAAAAGGGGGACACACACTTTGTGCGAGCCTGCGCAGTCGAACCGCACTTGGAGATTTCACAAGAGCCACTTTATACGGAAATTTACAGGTAAAATGCTGCGCTACAAAAGCGGGACACACACTTTTTGCGAGCGCGCGCAGTCGAAATGCACTTGGAGATTGCACAAGAGCCGCGTCATACGGAAATTTAGAAGTAAAATGCCGCCGGCCAGCTGGATCACCCTGATCAAGCACCGGCCTTTACTCTTATCGTCAGAACCCCTCAGTGTGGACACGCTGTTTAGTGAAGTAAATTTGACTGAAAGGTTACTTAGCTTGGATATGCGCATACCAAAAGTATCCAAAAGTGGTTTCCTTCATCCAAGAACCAAAGCAGTAATCACAAATAATCAGACGCAAAAGGCAAGGAGAATATGCCTGGCAAGGTACTGCAGATGCTGCATATTAATGGACTGCTTTGTTGTTCTGACTGGGTTTGGCATAAGCTGAGATGCATAGGCTTTCGGCCTTAGGCAATGATTTCAAAAAACCAAACGACCCTGACATTCAAAGGGATAAAACGGCAAGTCTCCTGGGATGTTGTTTGGTTGGCATGGCTGTCCAGCTGGTTGTTGGGTTTTTTGTTTCGAACACAGATTGTCAAAAAGTAACGACAGTGACAATCATGAAAGCTGCATGTTGCAGCTAGATCTTTTATATTTTTTGTTTCAATGCACTTCAACCGTTTTGGTCTGTCTATAATGTATTTGCTACAAGCGCCCATGTGACTTTTCACTACCCCAGTGGCATGACAAAACCTCTTCAAGATGGTGGCGTCGTTGGGTGGCGAATCACGCACATGTTGCGCAACGGAACAGGCACTGTTTTCCAGAGACTGTTGGGGGTACCGATAGCTACATGCTAGCATCCTCAATATATACATTCGTATTGGTCGCGCGCGTGATTTCTTGTAGCCGAACATGTAACATGTCAGGATGAGTCCCATCATGTCGTATCAGTCGCTCCGGGTCATAGCGCTGCGGAAATTTGGTTTTAAATGTTCCGAGATGTTATTTGCTTTGCGCCTGTTTGTGCCCAGGACAACTGGTTCTGTTCGGCCTACTTTTATACTGCCACTCTTGCTGATACATCCAATTTGAACCAGCGCAGAACACGAGTTTCTGCAAGAATAAAACATCATGTTTTGGGTTTCACCTGCATTTTCTTGTGAAACGGTTGTTTAGTGATTTCAGTGTATTTCAAGGGCTGGCAAATGATGAGCAAGAACAAATCTGCACAACGGGGTTTTTGAAAGGGAGATGGCCAGGTTCACATGATCCTCCCCATTTGGAATTGCAATCAGCTAAAGACCATCACAGCCACACCTTGTTATTGCATATGAGAATAACAGACACGTCTTGTCAGGAATACTTCCAACAAAACGATATTCAACTTTGCCTCTAATGTTTCTCCTTCATTATCTCTTTATGGGTACGAGTCAAAATACAAGGTATGGATCAAGGCCCCGGACCCACACACGATCCATACCCCCCGATCCATACCCTTGATCCATACCCTTGATCTATACCCCTGATTGATACCGCTGATCCGTACCCCTTTCTCGTTGAAGAAAGACTCATGCTGGCCCTAATGCTGCTTTTTATCCTAATACTGCTTCTGGTCCTCGTACTGCTACTCCCGTTGCTACTACCGTTGCTTCTACTGCTGCCTCCGCTGCCTCCGTGCTGCTGCTGCTGCTGCTGCCGCTACTAGTCATCTTCCTCCCAGGAGCTGCTGCGACTGCTGTCGCTTCTGCTGCTGCTCCTGCTGGTCCTGCTCCCGCTGCTGGTGCTGGTTCACTTTCTCCGAGTGCTTCTGGTAGTTGGACAAATGCAACTAGTTGACTAGCTACTAGCAATACTGCAAGTGCACCTTGGAGTCCATACCCGTTCCATACCCGATCCATACCCGAACCCAGTCACGCCACAACAAATGCCAATATGAAAGTCCGATTCGGTTACTACTTCTACTGCTGCTGCTTCTACTTCTACCTCTACCTCTACTACTACTACTACTACTACTACTAATCCTACTCTTAGTACAACTGCAGCTGCTGCTGCTACTGCCATTAGATTACTATTATTAATTATTACTATGACTTTTACTAGTACTACTGTTACTGCTACTGCTATTTCTACTGCTACTGCATCTCCTCCTTCTATTGCCACTACTGCTGCGGGTGCTGGTTTTTTTAATGCTCCCTCTACTAGCAGTGGTAGCAGTTTTAGCAGCAACAGTAAGGAGTATCAGCACAGTTTGTATGCTATGATGACCCCTTACGAAAGGGTACGGATCAGGCACCTTACGTAAGCATTCCCGATCCATAGTACGGATCACCGCGGAGCGATCCATACCCGACTTTTGACTCACACCCATATTACCGTGTCTTAGAATAAGGACCAACAAAATCAAGCGGTGAGAGTCCCATATTGTCGGGAGTCAAACATATTCTATGATGTTTTTGTCCCTCTGTTCAAGTTCAGCAATGAGGTGCTCGAGACGCAGGGCACGTTTGCCTCTTTGTTCAGGTTTTCTTTTGTCTATTTTGGTGTATTCGTTTTTGGTCCATCCACCCACCCAACCATCCATCCACCTGGATTCTGTGGCACGCGTGAGGAAACTTTCAACTTTCAAAGAAACATCGCGCTTCATTCACCATCTCTTGGGCATTACTTTAGCTCAAAGCAAAAAAATGAGTTTCCATTCATTTCACGCAAAGCGTGCCAATAGCTTGGAATCCCGTCGGCAAAACGCTCCTACTTTTTCAATAGTCTCGTCCCAAGTTGGTTTTAGGATGCGTTGGGCAAGGCATCCTTGGGAAAACTGTGATAGTTTGTTTTGGTGCTAATCTGCCCCTGGAGGTAGGCCATGGAGTTTGGGTTGACTGAAGAGCAAGTCCGTGTCTACACAGAGGCGCCTAGATCTGACCAGGTTAAGCACGGACCAAAGGTCCGCTGAAGCCTGGCAGCACTTCACAAGATCATGATTGCTAATGTATGGAATCATGATTGCTAATGTATGGAAATCAGGGATCATCAGCATATTCATCCACAAATTGACCAGAGGCTGAAGCCACTGCTCAAAGGTATTGTGAAGATAGACAAATGTAAATATATACCTGTAAACAGATGTAGATACTTGGAAGGATTTAGGTTGATTATTTTGACCTGTAATTTGTCGTGCAAAAGTTTACTGGCATTATATATCGCGTGGCCCGAAACCAACTTGAGCACAGGCCTTTAACGATATGGACAAGCACCACACGGGGGTGCTCCAGCCAGCCAGGGACCTGATCTCCATGCAGCATTCCCTATCAATCAAGGCACCAGGAGCAAAGGGCAATCCCTTGGAGACAAACCGACTTTAGGAGATCTTGGGAGGTCCGTTTTTGAGACGTTTCAAATTGCAGGAGCAGTTCAACACAACCGCCATTAGCCAAAGAGATACAGAAACCACCTGATGACCTTCTGCTGTATAGATCTCTAAGAAGGCCCAGCAGCCCCTATGACCCTTGTTGGCGTTTGTGATTTGGAGCCTCGAATTTAAGCCCGCCCCATAATTTGGACAGCAGTGGAAGAGAGTGATTTGCTTGCGTGCCGCCACCCCAATGCGGCCGCAACCTGCAAGTCATGTAGGCAGTTGACTCAAAATGCCCCACCCGTTCCAACGTCATTGCGTTGCCAAGACTGAGCTGGGCATCTTGATGCGATCACGGGGCCATACACTTTCAGATGAGGACAAGACACTCGATGAATCCAAAGTCAGCAACACGACGCAACATGGTTGCCATGGATTCTTTAACAATTGATTTTTGCTATTTGTATTATGTCGGTGTATAGATGGTTATAGATGTATATGGCATTTTCAATCTAATTCTGCTCAGTAGCTGTATCACAGGACATGCGAGATCTTGCTGCAGACAGGCGCCCTGCAAGTGTGAGGTAAGTGATCAGATTAGCCTGCAGACACCCGACAGGCACGGAAGTGTGACCTTGGCAGATTTTCTTCAGATCATGGCCAAGCGAGAGCAGGCAGGATAGCAAGACAACAAGATTTGGAAATATTCCATGAAGGACCTTAATTAATTATTAATAATTGAGAAGAACATGAACGAGCAGGCAGACTTAACGCATCTTAACGCTTCCAAAGAACTAAAGGTGAAGACAGCATTGCCTGGCACCGCCTGCATTGCATTTCACTGCAAGTCTCCTTTCATTCCGTTTCCGCTTTCTCAGCGCAAGGGCATCAAAGTCGGACGTAGGATGCTTTACAACACGTCGTGGCTTTGTCTCCTCTGTCAAATGTCGTTTCTATCCAATATTATCCAATGCCATTTTCTGGGAATCGTTTGCCGAGGAGATTAGTAAAGGGACTGGTTATCACTCAGCATGACATGCAAGACTGTTCGGGAGAACCCAGTATACACATGTAAACACTGTGCTTGAAAGGTGCCTCATAGACCTGTCCATATGACTGTTCTGGCTTGATTGAATCGATCGGACTTGTGAGCAGTATGTTTTTCTATCTCGATACAGACGTGAATCCTGCAACGTCAGGTTCCCACATCCGTTTTGTCAATGCATTTCCGCATCATTAGACTTGATCGAGGATGTTTCCCCCACCTTAAGTCCTATATGTTTGTCGCATAAGAATCAGACAGTTGCTGCTGAACAGGACGTTGTTCTGCAGCAAAAGCTGATGCAAGCCTTCGCTGTCTTTGACAAAGACGGAAGTGGCTTCATTAGCGTAAACGAAGATAGTGACTTCCGGAAGCAGATGACGCACAGCTGGCTCGTTTGAAGACCTTGGAGCTGGTTTTGTGGGCTAAAGCTTCCTTTGTCACTGGCTCGTTGCCTCTTTGTGTCTGACAGGACATTGGGGAACAACCCTTTCACGGATGAGCAGTTTGAGACTTTCCTGAGCGAGTCAGCCTCAAAGCAAAGTGGAAGGTGAAAGGCGAATATTTTTGCTGCAAGACATCCACTGAAAGAAAAGCGGTTTCGCATCCTTTTGTCTTTACATGTTTTTCTGTCAATCTGGCGTCTGCGAGGTTTTGTGCTCGGGTGGGACCCCCCTACCAGTATAGTAAGGAAAGAATTTGAGTCGTAAGGAAGAACGATTGGCAGGTACAGGGCTGAAGCAGCTTCGCAACATCCTGCAGATCAGGACAAGACACTTGAAACCATGCGTAGATTTGCAAAAGTCACATCAGGCAGTTTACCAGAAAAAAATCGCTGTCCGCAAATCTTCCAGCATTCTCGCATTATTCTTAGGTTTGGTCGTGACGAAAGGGTTTCCAGTGTGGGGCTCCGTTGCTGACTTATATACATAGGACGGTCTTGTGGACTACCAGGCGCGAGTTGGGTATAGAAGTAGGGTGGTAGCACCAAGCAATGTACATCTTTGCCTCGTGTACTGGACACATCTGGACACTGTACTTGCGGGAGGGCATGCACTCTTGGAATTTGGCTTCACGTATTCTGGAGCTGCTTTGTATGAACTGTTGCTTCTACCTACTGGTTCATTTGATAGGGGGACACCTGCGCATGCACCCAAATGCTTCCCTGCCAGGAATTTGTCAAGCTGATGCTTCGGAAGAACGCCTGAGTTAGCTTGGCTCGGTCTCGTACATGATAATGCAGGTGGCGAAGCCTCCCAAGACTGTACAAAAAGCAAAGAGTCCAAAGAGCCCAAAGCGTCCAAAGAGTCCAAAGGGTCCAAAGGGTCCAAAGGGTCCAAGGGATGAAGCAAAACTGATTGGAAAAGAGTGCTTCTCTGAAGTCCTACCTGTACACTGCCCCAGCTGTTCACTTGACCAGAAGAGCCTGCTTGGCCATTCCATGATTTTATGCATGCTGGCAAAGCAATCGCTGTGTCTGCTGCTGTAGACAGGACAGGGAATTGTTTTCAGAGTTTGCTTTCTTCAAAATATCGAAAGCAGTTCTTGAGTTTGAATTTTTGAATGCCAAGTTTTCCAATAAATCTATCAGAGGCTGCATTTCTTTCCAGAAGTGCGGTTCCAATCATTTCAGAACCTGAGTAGCTGCTAAAAGGAACCACTTCCTTCCACAAGTTGTCGCACGGTTTAACATTACGCTTCATTCGGCATTTGCTCTTCACAATGGACGCCAAGAATGCTGAGAGGCAAGTTGACTGCTTGTCGGTGGCACAAGTAAACGCTGCATTTGCATGAGAGATCCTGTTGCGAGAGATTCTACAGTGTGCGGCTGCTCTTGCACCAGAAGCTTCCGCAGGTCAAAGCTCGTGCAGCGCCAGAAGCAGCAGCGCCAGGAGCTTGCCATGCAACATTGAAGTTATTGCAAACTTCATGTCAGATACTACAAGGAAGAATGTAGTTATGATATGCCGTGGGATCTTTGTGCTGGAAGTTCTTGCAGCTCACAGTCAGACAGTTGCCCGCAGGCTTCATTTGTTTATGATTTTATCGGCAGTACGCCACGCAGTACACCTCAGTGGCTTGATATTCTAGGGCTTACTGTACACGTGTACGTACACACATGCTTGCCTACTTACTGTACTGACTGATATACATGACGTTCCTCCATACCTCCATGCTACCATATTTGCACACTTTCATACTTCATATGTGCTGCATACTTCCATACTTTCAGGATCACATTACTAACATGCTTACATAGTATTACATCGTTACATACTTTTAGACTTGCATGCGTACACATCTACCTATGCATTTAGATACGTAGGTACATATGATGTTACATATGCATATACCTGCATATGTTCAGACGTAGATACGTACAGTGTGCATGCTGCGCTGACGCTAATGCTCATCCTTCGACCACGTTCCCTCGACCTTGCACTGGGGCGGGGTGGGGTGGGGATGTTCACTTTCCTTCGACCACGTTCCTTCGACCTTGCACAATTAAGATGTTCATGCTACGCTCACATGAAATGGGGGGTGGGGTGGGCTGACGTTCGCCCGAGCTTGCGCAAGACTTTGATGCCTGCTCCAGTGGGGTGGGGTGGGGCGATGCTATTGCTCATTGGACCTTGCACAAGATTATGATGCTGTGCCCAAGACAACCTAATAATTCCCAATTATCATGGTTCAGGGTGGGGTGGGGCGGGGTCAGGTGGAATGGGGCGATGATAGCGCTCACTCGACCTTGCACAAGACTTTGATGCTGTGCCCAAGATCACGATGCAGCATACCCATGATGTTGATATATGATGATACTTGATGATATTTGAATAAATATTTTCACGATGATGATGGTGACGATGACGATGACGATGACGATGACGATGACGATGATGATGATGATGATGATGATGATGATGATGATGATGGGGAGGAGGAGGAGGAGGATGCGGAAGATGAAGTGGAGGATGAAAAGTTGGAGGAGGAGGATGTAGAGAAGGAGGAAGATGATTATGATGATCCCGTCGAGCTCCTCCAGACGCGGGGCAAATGGTGGGAGCTGGCCGTACAATAACCATTTGTGTCAAAGGAAGTTTTAGTTGGAAAACTTCCGAGTTGCGGACGATGGTCCTGGTTAGCATTCACGTGACGCCGTGGCACTTTGCGTGGCAGGCGCTGCACTTGGTCACATCCACCTTCGTTTTGCGTGGCAGGCGTGGCACTTGGCAACATCTACCTGCGTTTCGCGTGGCAGGTGTGGCACTTATGGCACCGGGCTGGCTCTCGTGGCGCGCTTGGGGCGGTTTTGGTCGCCGGTGACGCCGCGGCACCTTGCGTGGCAGGCGTTGCGCTTGGTGACATCCACCTGTGTTTTGCGTCGCAGGCGTGGCACTTGGCGACATCTACCTTGGTTTTGCGTGGCAGGCGTGGCACTTGGTGACATGCACCATCGTTTCGCGTGGCAGGCGTGGCACTTGGTGACATCCACCTGCGTTTTGCTTGGCAGGCGTGGCATTTACGGCACTGGGCTGGCTCTGGTGGCGCGCTTGGACAGCTTTGGTCGCCGGTGACGCCGCGGCACTTTGCGTGGCAGGTGTGGCAATTGGCAACATGCACCGTCGTTTCGCGTGGCAGGCGCGGCACTTATGGCACTGGGCTAGCTTTGCGTGGCAGGCGTGGCACTTGGTGACACGCCAAACTACTGCGCATGGTCTTCACTCTCCAGCTTGCTTCGCACATGACCACTTTCTTTGCATGTCGCACGCATTGCTGCCAGGCACCTGCTGAATGAGGGTGGCATCGTTCATATGACGGTGACCGACACTCCTTGAGGGCGAGATATGTTTCTGTTTGATTGTTTGAAATGTGATTGTACATGTCCTTGACTATGGTGCACCAAATGGTTTCATGCAATGTATGTCGAATCATTTGTTGCCGTGATAAAAAGAAATATCGTAGCCAGCAAGGAGTCCGCAGTTGTTTCGGCCGTGCGATGCTGTCAAGTCTTTTCTGTTTGGAGATAATGTTGAAACGTGCGACGTTTCATTTCTATTGTTGTGTTAAGATTTTTGGTGACATTGGAGACTTGTCAATGCTTGTAACATTCGCGTGTGACACTTGCGTCTGGGGATTGCTGAAGAGCCGATTGCTTCGTGCAAAAGAGCCCATGATGTGTCTCACTCGCCTTCTTCGAGTTCCACCCCGCTCTGATGGCTTTTTTCCCGACATTACTTCCCGACATTCACACACAACTTTGTCCCACACGCTCTCTTTCACACACAACTTGCACACACGCCATATTTCACACACAACTTTGTCACATACACACCATGTTTCTTTGTCACACAACATCTTTCATATACGATTTTGTCACTTACATTTTTTTTTACTTGTCGATCCTCCATCACCTCCTTTGTCTTTCCTTCCTTCCCCGTCCCCCCTACAACATTTGTCGGTCATTATTGGAAGAAGTTGACTTGTGGGGTTATCTGGTCCTTTAGTTCCGGATTGAACCTCATTTCGTTCATAAGGCTTGCGCTGGACCGGTCAAAATCCGTTTTTTTAAATTCAGATTTTGACGATCGAACCGGTCGCGAAAGATTTGTCAAGGGTTGCGCGCGGCCGGTCACAATCGCAACTTTACTTCAGTTATTGATGACCGAGCCTCATTTCATGCGGAACCGTCGCATTTTGTGATCCCCCGCAGCCCCCGCCCGCCTTAAGAGACAGTAGAAATTAGCAGAGAGAAGAGAAAGAGAGAGACAGAGAGACAGACAGACACAGACAGACACAGACAGACACAGACAGACACGGACAGACACGGACAGACACGGACAGACACAGACAGACACAGACAGACACAGACAGACACAGACAGACACAGACAGACACAGACAGACACAGACAGACACAGACAGACAGACAGACAGACAGACACAGACATACACAGACAGACACAGACAGACACAGACAGACACAGACAGACACAGACAGACACAGACAGACACAGACAGACACAGACAGACACAGACAGACACAGACAGAGACAGACACAGACAGACACAGACAGACACAGACAGACACAGACAGACACAGACAGACACAGACAGACACAGACAGACACAGACAGACACAGACAGACACAGACAGACACAGACAGACACAGACAGAAACAGACAGAAACAGACAGAAACAGACAGACACAGACAGACACACAGACAGACAGACAGACAGACAGACAGATAGACAAACATAGGTATATAGATGAACAGGCAAATAAATAGATAGACAGATAAGTACTGTAGATAAATAGACAGATAGGTAGTGTAGGTGTATATATACATATATACTCAAATTATATACATATATAGACAAATAGGGAAAAAGAAGGAGAGAGAAAAAAAAGAGAGCCTCAACCACCTCTCGATCCATCAGCTTCGCTGAAACTTCCGCCACCGCCTTGTGCGGTACTACTGGTATGATAAAATGACATATGCTATGCTTGATATACTTTTGTAGTGTGATGACAGCTAGCATCTGGATGTCTACATGCCAATTACATCAACTTGTAGCCAGGGGGCTCTTCCTAAAATATCGTACCCAAGAATCCGAGGGTCTAGCACCATTTTCCTCATTGAAATGGTCCCCCATTTTCGGACAAATCTCAATTCAATACATATGGATGGTTTTACATATCTAATTATTAATTCTACTATTGTATCCAGTGGACTTCTACACATTTTACAGCAATGTTGAACTCCCCCGATTCATACTTAAAAAATAAACACAACACTCTGGTTTGAAGTTTAAATTTGATTAAATATGTTTTATGTATGTTTATCTGGTTGGTGGTTTTAACCCTCTGAAAAATATGAAAGTGAGTTGGAAGGATTATCCTATATATATATATGTATATATGTATATCATATATTATGGCAAAATAAAATTCATGTTCCAAAGCACCAAGCAGTTTATGTATTAAACAAACAATTCATCCCCTTCACCATGGAGCCTTTTCCATGGTATCGGCGTCTCTGAGCGTCAGGTCCTGGCGGGCTCCAGTTTATGGACAAAAATCAGACAAAAAAAGAGGGGATTTTAGATGAGTCCATCCAAAATGCTGGTTTGTACCCTAATTTCAGGAAGAAATATGAGTTTCTAAACTAGGCGAATCACTCGAAAATTGATGATGTTGTCCCTTATTTTGGCATAGAATGCTTCTCTTTCGGCAACTCTGGAACAGCAGAGGAATTCCTGCGAGTGGCCTTACAATGTTAAGAAACAACGGCGGCGCAGCAGTTCACTGGAAAGCACGACGCAGACTGGGTCTATGAATCTTTGGCAGCTTGTGGCCCGGTCATTGGGAGACGCCAAGATGGCAAGAAGGCAGTGGCAATCCCATTTGCCACTGAGGCCTTTGTTTTAAATGCAATCATTGGCAATTGTCCACACCTTGCAAGACAAACTGCTGCCATGAGTCTGGTCTCAACAAACCTGGTAAAAGCTGCCACAGGGTTGAATATGTTAAATTCTATTCCTAGAATGCTAAAAAGGTAACAAATCTTCAGCTTTTCCGGTGCTCTATGAAGCGCTTCGTCTTGCGTCATGACGAGGCTCAAACTCCCAAATTCTCCTACAAAGCAGCACATTTTTTTGGCATCTCCTGCCTCCGAAAAGTCCAAAGGGCTGTGCCACCTGCATGTTCTTCTCTTTGTGTTGCAAACCATACGAGTAGAATCATTTATTTTAGCTGATTGATATCCCCGTATTATACACTGATAAAATCATCCAACTGAGTTGGAACACCACCAAGATCAGCTGCGAACTGCAGCACGCTGGGCATCAGCTTTGACAGTCGTGTGCTGCAAGCGGGAGATACCACTGAAAAAATTGAATTTCATTCATTTAATCCATTTACCTTCAAGATTCATCACCATTTATCATGATTCATCCATTCTTCATGAATTTTCTATGCAAAAAATGGAACCATATGGAACCCAAACGGAAAACACCCAAACAACAGCTCAGTATTCATCGTGGCCGTCGCAAGTCGCAGCATGGCAGCAGGGGCCACCTGTGGCAAAAAAAAATCATGATTTCCGGGACTGCCAAAGGTATCCAGAAATCCACTTTGGATGGAGGTGTTCATATGTTTTAATCAGACAATCCAGTAGAAAATTGTTGATGTTCCATGATTTTCCATTGCCATGTTTGATTACCACAGGTTATATAAAGAATCCTGGAAAATCCATGAAAATCCCCATGTTGCCACCACTTTCAGGGATTAGCTGGCTGTCCAACTTTCCCAGCGCTGGTGCCTTGCTACCAGCGACTCAAACCAAGATGGATGGGCTGGAAGAGTTGTGCTCGAAACCGTCCACAAGGTCCTGTGGATGTTTTGCAGTGGCCTGTGCCAAGAACATTCAGAAAAGACCTTCTCACTAAACAAATATGGCTTCAATTTTTTGGCACATCCTCACATCCCCCAGTTCTCAATGATTCACGTATCCAAAACCTATCAAAACCATTCAAAACCTAAAATAGACACCAGACATGACTCGACTCCGCAGCCGACCTGATCCTTGGCTAAGCGAAGAGCTTGAGGAAGATCCTCCAGAAGGTTCATGACGGTTCGCAGCTGAACAGACCTCCCCAGGATCAATGACTGCCACTGAGCACAGTTCGGTTGATGGATCTCCTGTTGGATGTATCCTCTCAGAATCAAACATGGCAACGGAAAACATCCCATATATAGTTGATGTTCCCATTCAAAGCTCCAAAGTTCTCATGGATTTTCCAGCCGGGTATCACGTCTCCCGCGTCGGCCTTCGTGTATCAAAGTTCGGGTCAGTTTTAGGATCTCCCCAATTCCAACCTTGGACGACGTGCAATCCCAGCATCTGAAAATTCTGGCGTGTCACAACTATTCCGCAAATAACTGAGGAATCGATTTGTTGAAGCATATGTCACCAAAACTGAGAAAACAATAGCTATAGGCTCAAACAAAAGAATGTGTTATACTGATGGGGGGGTTGTTGATGTTTTCTGCATGTTCTTCCTTTTGCATCGTGTGGCTAAACTTGTAGCTACAGGGCTCTTCATTTTGAACTAACCTCCAAGTCTTAGGCACCAAGAGGTTTTCTCAAATCAAAGATTCAAACACCTGTCATGCTTCTGCATGGATTTACGACCTGCAATGCATGTAATTATGTACATATATATATACATACACACACGTACATATCTATGCAAATGCATATTATATATATATATATACAAATCTATCTATATATATATAGATATACACAGTCTATACATATATATATACACATTATATATATATATATACATATATATATATATACATGTGTATATACATGTGTATATATATGTACATGTATATACATATATATGCATATACACACGTGTGTACATATATATATATATACTGTATATATATATCTACGTATGTATCAATCTATATACGTATATATATATATACTATCTACATATGTATATACACATATGTATGTATATACATATATATTATACACGTATATATATATATATATATATATTGTTATACATATATATATATATATACACGTATGTATGTATACATACATATATATGTATCATACACATCACGATATATCACGTATACATACGTATACACTCGGCATGGAGAGTGCTTTCCATGGGTCTTTGCCTGCTATGATACCACTCAAACAATACTCAAACTATTTCCTTGAAAGAGTGTCAAGGACCGCACACAAGCCGCCCTGCATTCAAGACACATCCGATGCCCTCTGACTCACTGCCAGCCGCCTCAATACAGTAGCATGTCATGAACATACTTGGGTACTTCAAAACATATCATAGTGTTCATTCGTCTTATACTTACTGGTGCTTAGCAGGGAATTTTCGGGAATGATCCACTGGCTCACTAGTAAATCTAGTAATAATCATTCCAGCAACCCCCAGCAACCCATGCATTCCCTACGTTTAGCACCAGTAAGTATAATCATAGAAACAGATCGTGCTTCGACCTAGATTCCTGCGACATATTCATCGGCAGATCCAAATCACAGCCGAGTTTTTGTGATTGGGCTACGACCCCCATGAACTATAGTTATACGATAAACCATGGTTAACCTACTTATGATCCAACTTAGTATCTAACATATCTAACGGACCCCACCTTGCAGAAATTCACAGATTTTTTGAGTAGAGGTCAGAAAAAAAAAAAAAACGAGCGTCTGCTGATCACCTGAAGTACAAACTTCATGATTGATTGTTTTTTCCCTAAGATAGATATTATATATATACTATGTATAATATGTAAAAATAAATATATATATATATATATTGTGCATGCATATATACATATTATATATATAGTACACACTATATATACACAATATGTATATATATATATATGTCAATGTAAGCAATGAATGTATGTACATATTAATATAAATATATGTGCAATCTCTATTTATGTATATATAATTATATATATATATCAAAACAGCCTTCTCAGGGTATGCCCTCAATCTTTTTCGCAGAATCGCATTTCCCATGACCTGTGGGTAGACCATGATGATGTCGTTGGCTTCGCCATATTCGTTGAGATCAATGGATGTCGCCTTGAAAAGGTAAGGTCAGTTGTTGAGGTGTTTATGGCATCCAAAGTTTGGAGGTTTCCTCAAATGGGGGGTACCCCCAATTCATCCGAATTATACCATATATATATATATCTCTTGAAACCTATGGTGACTTGGGGATCCCCTATCAACATACGTCAATATTAAAGGGGCTTAATCCACAAAAATGAATAAAAATGATAGGCAGAAGCAAAAGCGAAACCTCAAATCCATGGTTGATACATGAGCAGCCTCCATCAAAATGATAGGTTTACGATCTTCTATGTAGGGATATGATTCTTCAATATGGATGTGTTTTTACTTATGGGGGAAATCATGGGGATCTGTTTACCGATCTTTCAACATCTGGAGAAAACGATGAACCAATGGATGTTGGAGCACCCTATATATGTTTTACCCACAGGCACCGTGTGTTGCCCAGACCCACAACTATGATGTTAGATGATGTTGGATGATGATGATGATGATGATGATGATAATGACCGCGACCGCATCGCTTGGCAAGCAGCCAGTGCCCAGTACAACTTGCGAACCCAGTATAGGCTGGGTGCGGCAATCAAGAAATAGATCATAACATTGTTAAGATATCCTGAGGGATTAAAATCTGCCACCCCCTCTGAACTATATATTTAGAAATTAGGAAAAACATGAAACATGATCTTCATGTCATCATGAGGGATTAAAATCCGCCACCCCCTTGAACTATATATTGAAATGGGAAATAACATGCCAGATATCTTCATATCATCATGAGGGATTAAAATCTGCCACCCACTCTGAACTATATATTGAAATGGGAAATAACATGCCAGATATCTTCATATCATCATGAGGGATTAAAATCCGCCACCCCCTTGAACTATATATTGAAATGGGAAATAACATGCCAGATATCTTCATATCATCATGAGGGATTAAAATCTGCCACCCACTCTGAACTATATATTGAAATGGGAAATAACATGTAAGATATCTTCATAAAACTGCCGGGAACGTCCCTGTAAATCTCCGGGCAACACACAGCGCCTGGCCGTATTTGTTTGTCAAAAATCAAACATGGATTATTTGCAGTCAAAGCCTTGGAATCCTGCTGAACAGGATACCAACATTCGCTGGTTTTGCTGAATGTTCATCTCCCCCCCCAAAAAAAGTATTGATCACATAGCCGTTTGATTTTTTGCTAATATCAACGACATCTGCGGAATTTCAAGATGTTTGGTAATGATCACAAACTGGTTGGTGGCTTCAACATCCCTCAAAACTATTCAACAATTTCAGATACAGTAGATCATGTGAGCCACGTGGAACCATCATTCCAAGTAGGATTGAAACTTGGGCCGGGTACAGTAATCTTCCTAGTAAGGAACCAGCCAGCGGGAAAAAGGAGATCTATGGAATCAACAGTGACCAATAGCAGCAAAATCAGCAGAGAACCATCTGTTTCGTGTTGTCGAGGTGTTTCAAAAAAATTAGGTAGCCCTAAAGTACCGTGGTTTATCATCTTCCCTACTGAACTGCAATATGCAAAGGCCCTTATCCCATTTTCAGCAAGACACCCAAAGGCGGCGACGCTTCAACACCTTCAGAATGCATCCTCGAGCTTAGTGCTGGGTCCATCTCCGGGTCACCATCAACTACCATTTGAGGTCACTGGCTAACAAGTGGCGCTGCAATCATTGGTCCTACTGTTAGCGAAGAACTGGCAGAAAACGATGACCGACGATGATAGGAGTTCTGATAGTTCTGTTTTGTGACGAGCTTCCGTGGTAGTTCACGTGGATGCGACAGGACTCCACCCGTTCTTTGCAGTTTGTAGGCACATAAACAAGGGCAAATCTCCACAATCCAAACCTCAGCGATTTTCAGTGGCTAAAAATTGAGGTTGACATCCCTTCCTCCTAGTAATTCCTACATACGTATCCTATGGGCCCAAAACATACTCAACCATGGTTTCTGAGGGGCTATGTCATAATTTTTCTGGGGGGGGTAGGGATTGCATCCACCAACTCCCACCAACCACTCGTCCCTTGATTTCCCCTGCCTTGGCACCGAAAAATTTGTCAAATTCTCATCCTTCGGAAGATATTTCCACCTCATCAAGACCATCTCTGCAGGAATCTTCGGAACCCCCCAATTTTCAAGGAGGGCATAGTGCCATAGTTTCCCATAGAATTCTTAAAACTATCCTGATGATATCCATCTATGTCATCTGATGTCCTTTTTTGCCTTGCAGGTCTTGAAAAAGGCTTGCTGTGGATGGCACAGCAACTATCCCTTCTGCAGTATGGGTGCTCTTTGACAATCTCTCTGCTCCACTGCCAGCCATTTCTGACATCAAGAAACCCGCAACATAGCTCGATATAGCTGAAAAACGCTGAACAACCATGCTATGATGAGTTTTGATGCTCTACAATCTCTACATAATCCCAAAAATTGCTTGGCAACCGATATCTTCAGCGTCCTCAAGATGCCCTGCGGCTAAGCCACTGTTCCACGTGAGCCAGATTTCCATGTACTTGCTTTCGCGGCTTGATCTCGCCATAAATCTTCCGAAGCATGTCACCTTGAAACAACTAGCCTCTATAGTAACATGGCTGGCTGGAATATCACTCACGGATGTAGATGATCTACAAAAACTGCTGATAAACACTATGCATTCCACTGCCAGGTTCACTTGTCAGACAGTAGGTGACAGGAAACGAACAGAAATCCTAGGGATCACCATCCTGAATGCCTTAGAACGGTTTTAGAACTTCCAAGAATCTCTCAGTGACTTATGATTGCTTAATGTTGTTTAGTTTCAAATGTTCAATATACCAGTAAATAATAAAGATTTCTTAGATAATTAGTAGTATTATTAAAATATTTGTTTCAACATTTACCCTAAATACATATTTATGTTAGTAAAATTAGTCTAATATTTAAATACCCTAACGAACTAGTAGTAGTTAAATATATACGTCAAGATTCGTAAAATCACTGACCTCAGAGTGCATGTGTTTATACTATGTTCAATACATATTAATACTAGTACTAATGTGATATATTACTAATGAAAAATCGATATATCACATTAGTATTGATATGTACTACTCTTAAATTACTAATAGATATACCAATACTAGTATTAATATACTAATAGATGAAAAATAGTATTACGTAAAATATCACTGACCTCAAATACCCCTACCCCCGTTCCATTTCCGGCGGCTTGAGTTTTCCCAGGCACCACTCAAATCGTAGTGGCAGTTGTTCACGTCGCCTCGCCCACTTTCCAATCTCTGTCCAATTAAACAATGACTGTATATATATATATTATATATATTATATACATAATGTGTATATATATATATATGTATGTATAATGTTAATATATATATATATATATATACGTATATATTCTATATACTGTATGTATATATATATAGATACATATAATCAGCCTGAAAGTCTAAAAGTAATCAGCCTGAAAGTCTAAAAGTCTGATGCAGTTTCATGTCAGCTTGACTTGGTGGAAAGATCTGGGTTGCGGATCTCGTTGCGGTGTATCCAACGGAAGACGCCGAAACGCCAAGTCGCAACATTCCAAAGATCCTTCGAAGTCTGAGCAAGTGCCACCTCAGCGTTTTTCAAAACATCAGGCTTTATGTTGTGAATCTAGGGTTGACATTAGCTATTCGGGCGGTAGATATATAATATTTTACTATGGCACTATACCCTCTGGTAAACTAACATAGCTATTGAAAATGGCCATTAATAGTGGATTTTCCCATTAAAAATAGTGATTTTCCATAGTTATGTTAAATTACCAGAGGGTAGTTTTTATGGATGTGAAAATCGGGTGACTACAATTTTTATAGCCACACAACTCCAAAATATCCACCTGAAACAGGTATATAACAGGTGTAGCATCTGCACATAGCTGGTCTATATTAATGTCAATGGATTGGTTTCAGGGACAATTGAAACCGGAAAGCCCCATATTTAATGGGAAAATCGATGGTTTCCGGTTAAGATTTTCCCTTAAACCAATCCATTGAATATGTCTATATCATAATCCCGAAAACTATCTTTGGATATCTTTGCTAGTATAAACCCCAAAACAAAACATCAACCAATAGAGGTTTCCCACAGTTTCCGCGCCCCAATTTGGGCCCTGGTTTTTTTTGCACAAAAAAAAATCCACTGGATCATCCCCAGGAGTTTTCCCTTTGGAAAATGGTTTTCTGATTGGAGGGGTACAACGGGGTACTGGTACTGAGTTTTTTCTGTAGCCCATTTTCGGACGTAATTTTTTTGGGACCATATGTTTGAGTTATTTTGCCCTTTTAACGAAACCTACGAATCCCTGGGAGGTAATTGTATATACTTTCTTATGGAGCGACTGGTGCAAGGCTTGTCCAGGCAGGATAAATATATTTTTTCCGGAGTTGACGACACAATCCGGATGGTAGTATCAATCCTGACACGGTTAGTTTCTTTGTTCTGTAATGAGACTTATGACAAATCCATTTATGATTTGTTCTGTGGGGATGGGTCAAAACCCTGGTACCTAGTGAACATCAAAATAGCTGGTACGGTAAATGGATGTTCATCCCACTATAAATGTATCTATAGGTATTGACCCATACCCATGTGGAAATAATGACAATTGCTTTTTCTTTGCTTGCCATATTGGTCCCGGGTTGATGCCATGTATCTCTTTCAACACTGAGTTCGACTCCTGATCTCATCAACCCAAAATGGCTCCAAGTGACGTAAGCGCATCCCCCTGCTACTGCTTATTTCATATGTATGTCCATTCTGGAATAGAACTACGACAATTGAGCGGGCTGGTTTAAGCCAAAAAAGGGTTGGTCAGCAGGGTACCCCAAAAATTACCATGGCATACCATGGCTATCCTTGGCTCATCATCAAGTTCCCCATTGAAGCTGCCATTTGGGGAAGGGTGAAAAAACCAGGGGGTAGGGCACTGCCCTGCCGACCCGCACGTCAAGTTACAGTCACAGCCTCCATGGTCCAAGCTCCAAACGTGGGCAGCATCTGGAACACCGAGAGAACTGTCTTTGAGACATGGATTTTGTACTTGGTGGCGAACTACCCACGGATCCTAAGTAAGTTATAGACCTAGTTCTAAGTGGATAATTATTACAGTAACCCTACTTATCCCACTAACAAAACCAAACATATAACCTAGGATCCATGGCTAGTTCGCCACAAAGTAACAGAAAGGATTTCATCACGCAGGGGCGATCCAACCATCATCTTATGGCCATACAATGGGATATGATGGGAGAACTGCCACCAACAACATGATCACCCCCAAGCCGCGATGGAAAATTCGGGAAATCATCGTCAGCCCTCAAATTTTGGGGACATCAATCGGACACCAATTTTTCAGAACCAAAACATGATCCAAAATGGCGACTAAAATAATCCAAAACAGCTGGTTTTTTGGTGTGCAAAAATCCCCATTTTTGGTATCATAGCTCTTGCCCCACACCTTAAACAGCACAAACGAAGCTTGATCAAAACGACTGGCTGTCTTGCAATACCTGCAATCCGTTGCAGGTCGACATAGGACGACTGGGTGCCCAACTTGTGCCAAATTCTCGGAAAAGAAGGCGTTCATCCACAAAGTAGCGCAGCTGCTCAAAGGTGTCTTTCATGACCCTGCGTAAAAAGATGTTTCCCAAGGGAGAAGGGTGTCTACACAAATGTCCAATCCCATAGAGTTTGCCGAAAAAAATGGCCCGTTGAATGGAACAAATGATGATAAACCCACATGAGACCACCTTTTGTGGAGGATCCAGAAGAAAATCCCAGCTATTTTGGTCCCAAAAAGGCACCAGAGCTAGGAAGCATACCACTTTGGTACCATCGTCAATCTGTTCCAATTTTCATCCCTGGTCCCATTTTCATCATGGGCTGCAATGTGAAGCAGCTCCTTGTATAGACACATTCGTCATCCTTGCCATTGAAGAGCAGGACAGGGACATTCTTCCTGGGCGGATTGATCATTGGGTTGATGAGGGGATCACACCAGGGGATCAGAAACTTGCCAAGCATCAAGTGGGCGGGGTTATCGATGAGTCCTTGCTGATATCTCCAATACCTCGGCTTGAGAATTTCCAAACGCTTTTTTTGGGAAACAGCTGAAATGAACCAGTCTATAGATATACTATCCATGTATTAACATAAGTCTAGAGTCTAGATTACACCTACTATCACCTACTATATACCATGTATCTCAATCATAATATGTCACTATCCTGAAACTTGTTTGGCCCACCATGGGAATGATTCCCCACACCATCATCCTATGATGAGCAACGCCCAAGCGATGGAGGCGTTGATGTCCACGTGGCCATAGTAGCAGCGGTCTTCCTGGGAGAAAGTGCAGTACTGAAGGAGAAAGGATCCCAGAAAAATCCACATGTAGATGTAAATAAGTATGGTATTGTATGCATGTGATAACAGTGTATATATATATATATACATACATATTTACATAGAATCATTTATCTATGTATATATATACACATATGTATACACACCTTTGAATGTATTGTAAGAAACACTTTCCCACCCAATCCTTACTATATATCTCAGGTGTCACTATGTGGTAAAGGTCTTGGCATTTTTGCTTGGGCTTCACTTGCTTCTAGATTGCAAAATCTCCGTTTTTCATTCGAACATCTCCAGTTTATACAGGGAAACTCCTAACTGTCCATTGGTAACTATGAAGAACTCCTTATTTTCCAGTTCTATTTCATTCTATTTATTTTATCTATTCTCTTAGACGCCTCAATATTTAACGCATTCGATTGAAGACATGCCCATTTTTTTTGAAAGCCAATCCAAGTGGGCATGCGTCAAAACTGGCTACCCCAATCAGGATGGTTAGTACTAAAAATAGACCTTCCAATCTGCGGTGCCCCACTGTGGGGTGCACCCCAGTTGGTCAATGTGTTATACCATGTTATACCCACAGTTAAATATGGAATATTCCCACTTCTATGGATAACCACGGATCCGATTCGTGTGGCCCGCACATCCAGGCAGGTCATCAATTGACCCGTGGCTTCGCCCACCTCGTCCGGTTGCACGCCGCAGCCATAGGGTGAGCCCGCTGCAATCGTTGCTCCATCCACGTGGCTCTGGGAGGCGAGGAAATGGGCAGACCCAAATCAGTTTCTTTGGACTGATGTCATGGGATATTAATAAGATATTAATGATATATCAGCTGGCTTATAAACCTATGGTAGATATATCAGCTATATATGGTTGATATATCAAGGGGGTATCAATGTAAAATTCATGGGAAATTATATAATGGGATGTTATCACAGGATGTTGACGGTATTTCTCAATGGGATTTATAAACAACCACAGTCAAAAGACGAATATTAACGTAGAACTGGCGCTGGGAAAGTATAGCGACCCCCAATGATGGGACCCCTTTTTGCAATAAGCCTCCATACTACTCCCTTAACAAAAACCCCTAGAGCCCTTCCATGCTGAAAGCCTCACCATCCAATGGATGGAGTCGATCCATCGGATTTTTTTTCACCGACCATTAAAGTGACTCAGGACTCGCAAAGAGCGCTCGGGGGAATCAATGCGGTTGACAAGCTCGGCCATTTGAAGATAATTCCCCGAATTTGACAATCATCATTTTCATCTTCAGCATGTAATTCAGCTCTACTAAGGTTACTAAGGAATCTACTGATCTACTGCGGAAAATGACCCCTAACCATCCTTTCATAAGCTCAAGAATCAATATCTTGGTGAGTGCAGCGAGCGGTACATCTCAGGTTGCCCATGTTGGGTGCAGGTGCCACGACTGTGAACATCCCACAAGAAGCCTCTGTTTAGCAGTGTTCAAAACCCGAAATATCGTCCCCTTGCACTAGCTGGTTGATGATAGTGTTTCTCATAATGGATTGTGCAGTGAGAATCACCAATAGTTTGGATACTTTGCAATTTACCATGCTCTGTTACAGTAGCACGATTTTAGGCACGAGGAAATGCTGAAAAAAACACGATTTGGTGCACGAAGAAATAAACAAGACATGTCATGTGTGCTGCATGAGGACATGCAAAAAGGAGTTTTTCTGGTGCAAAAAAAAATGCTATAAATTGTTTTGTTGCTTATAAAATAGCAACAAAAAAACACGACTTGAAGCACCATTTGAAGCACGATGGATTTAGTTTTTTTCCCCATGCAATTCAAAGGTTGGCGCAAGCAAAGAATAATTCTGCGGCGCTGAGCAAACAAAAGCGCACATCTTTAAATTGTGACAACCAGAAATTACTACAGTTGATCTGGATGGACGGGTTTTGACGTCCAAAGTTTCCTAGGTGTTCCCAAATTGCCGTAATCCTTTTATGAAAAAATACCGTGATTTCATGGTGAACCATTTGGGGTGTCTGTTTAGTAAGAAAACCTTAGAACCTGACCGTTACAGAGCAGTCGGAAAAGCCTCAATGGATAGTAGAGCCACAATATCGTCATCGAAAAAAACAGTGCTTTTTCACACCTTCTGATTGATGGTATACCTATATAACCCTTTGAAAAATATGAGTTCGTCAGTTGGGATGATTATTCCCAATATATGGAAAAATAAAGTCCAGGTTCCAAACCACCAACCAGCTTTCAATTTTGATTTGACACTTTCATAGTAGTGCCCCATAAATTGGGTCTGAACACCGCTCAAAATGTATGTGTGAATTGCGTTCCACACATTCCAGGTGGCATTAGCATTTCTTCACTTTAGCATTTCCTTGGCCACTATGGCCCAACATTCCCATAGGGCTAGGGATATGCCTATAGGCTTTTGAACCTTTGGCTTACATGGCCTGCTGCCCCCGTGTGTCGAAAAGGGCAGCCTACTTCTTCATTGCGCTTGCTGCACTTCGCGAGGCAGCTTTTGGGATTGGAGTTTCGGAATCTTCAACCAACATTGGTAGCGGAGCATTGCGCTCCAGAGCCCTTCTACCTCACTACAACCTGGACACCTTCACCTACCAGATCAACTACGCCCATCCACTGCGCTACTACAACCTCATCACCCTCTACTACCTCCCGTGGTCTTGGTCTTCGACGATGCCGACATCTGGAGACCCTGCTACATCGACTTCGAGCACTACTGGCATGGAGCTGCTGAAGGACACCTACATCCCAGTGTTCAACAACAAACCTGGTGATTACCGTGAATGGCGCCAACGCATTGGCCTTTACCGCCGAAAGCTGGAGCTACAAGGAAAAGGGAAAGAAGCTGTGCTCAACGTCCTGACCAGCTTGCATGGCGTGGCCTGGCGACAGTTGGAGCCGAAGGTGGAGACGATTTTGTCGAAAGATGAGGGTGCCTTTGACCTCATTCTCAGTGAGCTGGACTCTACGTTCCGCTACAACGAGGATGTCGAGATGCCTCGTGCCTTTGAGAAGTTTTTCTATGGGACAACGAGGCGACCAGAGCAGACCTTGCTGTCCTATGTGGCGGACCATCGAGAAGCACTACATGAAGTTGAAAAACATGGAGTTCAAGTGTCTGACAAGGTGAGCGGCTGGATCCTTTTGAGGCGCTCAGGTCTCTCAGGAGAACAAAAGCAGCTGATCCAAAGTCAATGCCCCAAGCTGTCCTACGACAAGGTTGTGGAGGCGATGTACTTTTTGTTGGGCCAAGACTACAAAGGCAAGTCTCATGATGCAACCACGAAGTGGAACAAGGGACGAACCTATGGGAGATGGTCCAACAGACAGCATGGCTATTTGACTGAGGAGACCTATGACGCCGAGGAGATCTACCCCGAGGACTATGCCTACCAACAATGGGATGACGATGAACTCTATGGTGAAGACTATGGTGATGATTGGGATGAGTCCTACAACGAGGACACCTACAACGCTGCCGACTATGAGGACGCGGACTTCCCGGACGAGCCCTTGGATGATGGAGGTGAACTTGAAGAGGCATACGCCTCATACCTTGATGCCAGGCGACACTTCGCCCAGATGAAAGCTGCTCGAGGCTACTTCCCTGTCGTTGCCTTGACGGATGGGGGACAATCTATGCCAGCAAGTTCACAGGCACCACGAAGCCCTTCGAAAGGCAAAAGCAAGGGCAAAGGCAAGGGCAAGATCAAGGGGAAGCCATCCCTGCGACAATCCAACCCACCACAACGTGGTTCTGCTGCCTCAAGGGCCAATGCCACGAGATGTCTACGTTGTGGACAGGTGGGACATTGGGCGGCAAACTGCACTTCACCTACATCAAAGGCGAGCCCTACGTCATCGACTACCTCCTCACCTTCGAAGAAGGCCAAGACGGAATCAACTATGATGGTGCGCGACCTGGCCAAGCAAGTCCCCAAGGGATTGCCATTGCTTGGCAATGATGGTTTCTTTGGAATCCAAGATGGTGGTGCATCGTCTGTGGTTTGCGGCCATGACGTCTTGATGAACATCGTGGACCACCTGGTGATGCGAGGCGTGCCCATCGAGCGCTTCATGTTCATGGCGACCAACAAGCTGTTTGGCTTTGGGGGTGATGCCAATCGAAAATCAGACTGGTCTGTCAGACTTCCAGTCTACATTGAAGGCCAAGCAGGCTACATCGAGACCTTCATCGTCGAGGGCAGTACGCCTCTCTTGATCGGCCGACCGATTTTGCAGGCGCTCAACATCAAGATTGACTACCACCAGAACAAGATCTCTGTCCAAGACGGTGAATGGAAAAACACCACAATGGGTGAGAAAGGAGAGTACCTTCTGCAATTGGACCATGGATTGGAAGATGACCCTGAAGGACATCACATTGCCTTCGACTATGTCACCAGCGAGACCTGCACAGCGATCAACAACTATGACGACCTGAGTGACTACATCAACATCCATGAGTATCTCTCCATGACCAACCGCAGCCCTCCTGAGAAAGCTTTCTTGGAGGAAGACACAACCTTGGAAGAAACACCCACTGAAAGCTTTGAAGATTTCCAAGAAGATGATCCCGCTGCTGTGAGGCGACCGATCACTGACAAGTTGATCAAAACGATGCACATGGAGTTCAACAGCTTCAACCGGCGTCGCAAAGACACCATTGAGCAGGTGTTGCATGCCTACCAGACTGGACGCCGCACCTTTTGGGAAGTCTACAGTGGTTCTGGCAACTTGTCTTCGGTGATGCGGGATTGCGGTTGGGATGTCATGACCTTTGACTACAACACGGGCTAGGATTTCGATGTTGCAGCCCACCGGAAAGAATTTCTTCAACTACAAGATCAAGTTTGCCCTGACTTCATTTGGTACAGCCCCAAATGCACTGATTGGTCCCCTCTTCAACAACTCAATGCCTTGACCGAAGATCGAAAAATGGCACTTCAAGCTGAGCGCGACTACCACGAGAAGGTCCACTTGAAGATGTGTCGCCGAAGCTACTTGAAGCAGAGGCGTGAAGGAAGGCATGCGGCCTTGGAGCAACCAAGGTATGCACTGAGCTGGAAGACGACTACCTTGCATGATCTTCCAGGATACCAATGCAACTTGGACCAGTGCCAGTTTGAAGTGATGATGGCTGATGAGAATGGGATGGACCAATACATCAAGAAACCAACACGACTGCAATGCACGGACGAGCACATGGCCAACGAACTCTCACTTTTGTGCCCAGGTGACCACTACCATTTGCCAATTGAGGGCAGTTCACCTGGAGTTGGCAACCGTGCTGCTGCTTCTGCAGTTTATCAAGGAGTTTTCTGCAGCTGCATTGTTCAGGCAATCATCAACCTCTTCATCAACCAGGAGCATGAGCAGACCTTGATGACCCACGAGCGTATTCATGCAGGTGATGACATGGCCGATGAGACCTCACTTCCTCCGGAACTTGACTTCGAGAACTTGTCTGAGGTTTGGCCAGACACACCATCTCCTGAACAAGATCAACATGCTGAAGTTCGACAACGCCGTGGAGTCCTTCAACGTTTGGATGAATGTGATCGCCAAGCTGCCAAAAGAACGATCACCAAGCTGCACCGCAACTTGGGCCATCCATCCAACAAAGAGCTCATCAGGTTGCTGAAGACCAAGAATGCTGGACCTGCTCTACTACAAGCTGCCCAAGACCATGAATGTGGACTATGTGATCTTCACAAACGTCCCAGTGGAGTACCCGTGTCGAGCATGCCCAAGGACACCACCTTCAATCAAAGAGTTCAAGCTGACACTCTGTGGGTGAAAGTTCCTGGGGTGAAGCACAAGCTTCCTGTGCTGATGATGTCAGATGCTCACACGCGACTTCTTGCAGCTCGCTTCATCAAGGCCGAGACCTCTGAGGAGTACATCAAGCAGATTGAAGCTGCCTGGATCAGCTTCTTTGGACCCATGAAGACCCTGCAGGTTGATGAACACAGGGCTTGGGCATCAGATGCCATGCGAGAATGGGCAACTGAACATGGGATCCATTTGGTGATTTCTCCGGGGCAATCTCATACAAGATTGGCCATTTTGGAGCGAAGACATCAGGTGACAAGAAGGGCGATCTCCCTCTTTCTGGAATCCAACCCTGGTGTCGCTGCTGACAAGGACGCCCTCATCATTGCCTTGACCTACATTGTGCCGCAGCTGAACAGGATTCCAAATGTGCATGGATACAGCCCCATACAGTGGGTGCTGGGCTACACGCCACATGTGCCCGGCTTGCTGTCTGAGGAATCTTCCCTCAGCAATCCAGCACACCTTGACCCATCTGAGAAGTTCATGGAGAAGCTGCGCTTGCGACAAGAGGCCAACAAGGCCATGATTGAGGCCGACACCGACTTCCGCCTGAGACGTGCCCTGTTGCGCAAGTACATGGGTCAACCTGTTGTCCTTCAACCAGGCGACTTGTGCTACTACTGGAGAGACACTCCAGCAGGATCTACTGCAAAGTTGAAATGGCGTGGACCAGCCACCGTCATCATGAAGGAGCAAGGTCAACATGGCCACCACACCGACATCTACTGGATTGCTCATGGAACAGTTCTCCTACGTGCAGCTCCTGAACATGTCAAAGCTGCCACACCAGTCCAAGATCTCACAGAACGACCTCGAGATCCCTTGGACACGGCCAAGCAGTCTCTGTCCAACATCAGAGGCCGTGGTGTGACGCAGTACATTGACCTCCCCAAGAGCAACAAACGCAGACGCGATGAAGTTGCCACTGATGAGGAGGAGGACGAGCACGATGAGGACATGCAACAATATCCAGGACAAGAGCTACCACCAGACAGGTGGAATGTGTCAGAAGATGGAAGACTTTGGACTCGAACCCACAACATTCCAAGACGCAAGCTCTACGTGCCCGAGCCAACAGCTGATGTCCCGATCCACCTCTTTCAACCAGAACGAGCAACAGATGTTCGCAGAGGACATCCAAACCCTGAGCACATCAGGATCAGAGATGAGTGGCGAACACCCAACTCTGACAGGGAACTTCACTATGTTTGGACTGGCACAACGACCTTCTTCATCAAGACTGACCAGCTGTCTGACAACGAGAATGAGTACAGCCCTGGCACACCATATCAAGGAGATGGACCTGATTCAGATGAAGAAGTACATCCTGGAGGAGCACCTCATGCTGGAGAATCTGAACAAGAACCACCGAGTGCTGAAGCCTCAGCCCCAACAACAACTACAAGTCCTACGGACAACTCCAACAACACCAGAACCAATGGACTTGAACCTCTCCCTGAAGAACAACAACAACAACCTGAAGATCTACCTCCACTTCAACCGTCAATGTCACCAATGAGCCAAGAACCAATGGCTGAACCTGCCATAGTACCTTCGGTACTACCACCACCTGGCGTTGAAATTCCTGATCAACAACGAGAAGTTTATGAAGCCCCTGCCAGTGGTGAGACCTTTGCCCAACAACGTGCACGACATGCACGACAAGAATCTCTACTGTTCCGACCTCAACAACCTGGAGCACCTGCGTATGGTCCACAACGACCTGCCGCAGCTGTGCGACCCTCGTGAGATGAATCAGCCCCAACAGGGCCAAGCCCCATGCAGGGTGCGTTTTAGCGATAGTTAGGTGCCATTTTTCTCCAGTTTCATTTTCCACCGGTGTGAATTGCGTTCCACACATTCCAGGTGGCATTAGCATTTCTTCACTTTAGCATTTCCTTGGCCACTATGGCCCAACATTCCCATAGGGCTAGGGATATGCCTATAGGCTTTTGAACCTTTGGCTTACATGGCCTGCTGCCCCCGTGTGTCGAAAAGGGCAGCCTACTTCTTCATTGCGCTTGCTGCACTTCGCGAGGCAGCTTTTGGGATTGGAGTTTCGGAATCTTCAACCAACAGTATGGCATTCCTCTTCTCATCCAAGGTGACCCCATTCCATCTGTTGCCCAGCGACTGAGAAAGCAAAAAGATGGTTCACAGCCTTAGCTGAGGCATGAGCCCGTAAGAACACTGACTAAGTGGTGCTGGTTTCTTATTGAACTATGTAAAATGGGATATATGATATCTCTACCTGTATACACATATGTTTGCACATTTATAACTACATATACATGTGTATATATATATATATTGTGTGTGTATGTATGTATGTATGTATGTATGTATGTATGTATGTATGTATGTATGGATGAGTGGGTGGGTGGATGGATGGATGGATGGATGGATGGATGGATGGATGGATGGATGCATATGTATGCATATGTATGCATATGTATGCATATGTATGCATATGTATGCATATGTATGCATATGTATGCATATGTATGCATATGTATGCATATGTATGCATATGTATGCATATGTATGCATATGTATGCATATGTACGCATATGTACGCATATGTACGCATATGTATGCATATGTATGCATATGCATGCATATGCATGTATATGCATGTATATGCATGTATATGCATGTATGCATGTATGCATGTATGCATGTATGCATGTATGCATGTATGCATGTATGCATGTATGCATGTATGTGTGTATGTATGTATGTATGTATGTATGTATGTATGTATGTATGTATGTATGTATGTATGTGTGTATGTATGTGTGGATGTGTGGATGTGTGGATGTCTGTATGTCTGTATGTCTGTATGTCTGTATGTCTGTATGTCTGTATGTCTGTATGTCTGTATGTCTGTATGTCTGTATGTCTGTATGTATGTATTTATGTACGTACGTACGTATGTATGTATGTATGTATGTGTGTCTGTATGTAATGTAATGTAATGTAATGTATGTATGTATGTATATGTGTATGTGTATGTGTATGCGTATGTGTATGTGTAGATGTATGTGTATGTGTATGTGTATATGTATATATGTATTGTGGATAGATTGTGGATAGATTGTGGATAGATTGTATATACTTGTGGGAATTCATAATTCCGAAGACTTCTGCCATTTGGAAATAGCTCGCCCTTACAATTCCCACCGTCCGAGAGACCATAGAGCCACCCGCTGACTGTCCACTCACCGAGAACCGCAAGGGTCTTCGCTCTTCAGCACCTCTTCAGGGCAACAGTTCTGGTGTACCAGTGGACTCAAAAATTCTGGATTCAACCATGGAAAATGATGATTTAGATTGACAAAGGCCATATCCATATCCAAAAAAACAATAACGGATATGCAATGACATGCATGTGAATAAATGGGGTATACAAAAAACAAATTGTAATGTAACGGGAAAAATTAAGTGCCAAGATGGCGGATTTGGGGGTGTCCATCGAATTGTTCAGATACCAAACAATCAAACAGGTCAAAACTGCAAATCTTATACCAGCTACAGATAGGATACACGATTATAAACGCAGCCCTTCCTGAAACGTGTTTCTCTTGTAATAACTTTGATCTTTTTCGGGAAGTCAAAAGTGCAAAACCCTTAAGATCCTTGATGTCGTACACTTTGTAGCATCAACTGCAGAAGGCAACGCACAGAAAGTCCCCTGCCTGCCTGGTGCTAAAATCTCAAGTGACTCAACCAAGAACTGAGTAAAAGAACCATTCAGAATTTATCAGCTGAATATAAATCACGCAGAATCAAGGGAACCTATAAAATTGCTGCCTATCTTTACTCGTTCTTTTCACCCTCCCTGCCTGCGAAAAAAACGCTGGAATGAATCACCATCGCAAATTTGGCCATGGCTCCAGCAGAATTCATTTCGACCAGCAGTATCTAGCTTTTTTAGCAGCGATTTGACTGATCGGAGCTTTTCAGGTGAAGCAGGGGACATGGGCTTTTTGCATCTTTTTTGCCTGAGATGAGGTTTATGCGGCTTGAACACTTGCAGTCGATAAAACTGACCTGCTGAAGCAAGCCGATCAAATACATTGCTGCGACTGCTTTTCGGAATATCAAGCGAACAAAGTAGTTCTTCTCACATGGGTTTGTCTGATAATAGGGTGACCCCCAAATTTGATGGTTGATTCTCAATAGCCATTTGAGGGGTCAACCCCAATTTCAGACACACCCACATATCAATAGCATTCAAGAAGCTGAGCCTGTTTGACAGGAGGTCTCCAGGTTTCCGTTCAGAGCAGTACCCACTTGTCGCGTCCTTTGCGTTGACTTGCTGCATGAAGATGTACATGAGCTGACTCCTGTGCAGGAATAGGTAGGAATGGCCGTGTCACTTAAGTGAGCACCCAATCATTAGTTGCCCTTTGGGTCCCTTTGGCCATTTCACCCTTTGCCAGGGAAAATGACCATATTTGAAAGATAAAATTATCCATTGACGCAGCAGACTCAGCATGGGGCTTCAGCGACTTTTCCAGCGGATCACGGCCTGAAGTTCCAACGAAGAACCCCTTTTGTGGCCCCCGTGGTTTTTTTCGCCCAAGGCCCCATGTAAACGGTTAAACATGTTAAACACCCTTGATGCATCTGAAAATGACCAAATGCCACAAAACCTTTGAACAGCGCATGCTTTCCTCTGTGGAAATTAGGGATGAATCCCCCATTTTTGAACAAACCATAACAAACCTATTCAATACATGGTTGGTTAAATATCATCATAAAATACATAAAATACTCAGTTTCATACCCCCTACTCGGGTGCAGTTCCAGTTGTTAGTAGGTCCCAATATCTCAACTTAGGAGGTGATTTCACCATGTTTATGGTTACACAATGGCTATATAGCTATATCTAGAACCTCAGCTGCACCCCCAGATAGATTTAGAAATACATCTAACTATAGATATTCTCTATCATGAACCATAGAAATTACCTCAGTTTCATGGCCCTAACTTTGTTGCTAACAATCCTCCCCCATTGTTTAAGACCAAGGGACACATGACCAGCGCCAAGGACCCTGAGACCGCCACCGCCATGTAGGTGGCTGCCTGGCTTGTGATGGCTCTACGATTTTCTCCTTTGGAACCTGCTCTAATGGTGATGTTTCATGGAATTTTAGAGTGAAATTACTGAACTGATTTGTGGGGATATATATATATATATTATATATACATTATATGATGATTTCAGGATTAAGTGACGGGCTGGAATTTTAACTTTAAGGGTCATGTTCAGTGAAATTTGGTGAGGATATCATGAAATAGTATACTGGGGATTTTTTTGGGGGGAAGTTAAGTTACCACCATTTAGATCCGTTGGTTCATCATTTTTTCCCCGAACCAAATGGCTATTTGGGCAATAATTACACGAGGTTCAGGCACCCCCACTTTATGGCCGTGTTTATAGGGAACACCATGAATTTCTGAGCGGATTTCGGGTGGGGAAACCCACTACATCACGAAAAAAACCCATCTGTGATGACATCAGCTGTGACTGTTTCAGTAGAGGTTAAAGTTCCTGTGTTTTCCACACTCGAAAGCTGATGGATCTTGTGGATCTTGTGGATCATCCGAAGGCCAGTCGCTTGGCCGCCCTGGACCCTTAAATTTGCCCATCAATTGGAGATCTGAAGATCATCAAACCACCAAGCAGCTGCATTCCTGCAACTTCAGCCAAACAATTAGGCACTCTTGAACATTTCAAAAATTATATTAGACAATTCGACAACAGGATTTCATAGGATATGACATGCCTATACAATATGTCCCCTAAATGTTTTTTTCCAAATGCCTTGTTTCTTTGAAAGCGAAGCCCCATTCAAGTCCGACCAGCAAACGCAGCCGCCTTTTGCAGAAGCTCATGATCTACCTCGTAGAGGAAATCCTTCAAAGCCTGGTCTGCACATGGCTGTAAACCCCCCCGGCGATAGAACATGATAGAAAATCACGATTTTTAGATTGGATTAGTTATCCACTATTTATGTTTATCCACTATCCACTAGTATTTGCAAATACCAGTAGTACCGCACAAAGCGGTGGCCGAAGTTTCAAAAATAGGAAACCTATAGGAAGGGTTGGTTGTTGTGACTCGCGGATGGCAGAGCGAATCCACTGATGGACCGAAAGGTGGTTGGAGCTGTGTTTTTTGGAGTGGTTGCAATGGTTGCAGCGGTCACCTCACTCACAACTCCTCGATGTAGTGTGGTGTAGCGCCGTAGTTGTAGTTGTAGTTGTAGTTGTAGTTGTAGTTGTACGTAGTTGTAGTTGTAGCTGTAGCTGTAGCTGTAGTTGTAGTGGTGTTGATGCTGTTGAAGTTGTAATGTTGTAGTTGTGATTGTAGTTGTAGTCGTAGTTGTAGTGTAGTTGAAATGTAGTTGAAGTTGTAATTGTCTTAATTGTAGCATTTGTAGTAATGGTGTAGCGCAGTAGTTGTAGTTGTAGTTGTAGGTGTAGTGTAGTGGAGTTGTAGTTGTAAGTTGTAGTTGTAATGTAGTCTAATTAGTGTAGCGCAGTTGCAGTTGCAGTTGTAGTTGTGGTGTGGTGTAATTAGTGTAGCGTACTGTAATGTATTGCAGTGTACTCTAGTGTTGTGCACTGTAGCGTGGTATAGTGTAGTGTGGTCTAGTGTATTGTAGTGTAAAGTAGTGTAGTTGTAGTTGTAGTGTCGTGTCGTGTAGTGCAATGTAGTGGTAGTTGCAGTTGTAGTGTAATGTAATTAGTGTAGCGTAGTGTTGTGCAATGTAGTGCAGTTCTAGTTGTATTTGCATTTATAGCTGCAATGTACTGCAGTTTAATTAGTGTATTGTAGTGTAAGGTAGTGTAGCTGTAATTGTAGTTGTAGCTGTGGTGGTGGTGGTGGTGGTGGTGGTGGTGGTGGTCGTCGTCGTCGTAGTAGTAGTGGCTGTTGTAGTGGTATATTTGTACTTGTAGTTGTAGTAGTAGTGTAGTGTAGTGGTACTTGTAGTTGTAGTTGCAGTTGTAGTTGTCTATCTATCTATCTGTCGATCTGCAAGCTTGAAAACAAAGCTATCCTGCGAGACTTCCTTAATTTTTGAACTTGACAACGTCACAAACGAAACAATTCTGCGAGACTTCCTTCAAAAATGGAAAGTTGAGTGCAGAGCTGACGGCCTCGTACCAATGCGTTTTGCGATTTTTCCACTCCACCTGTCTAAAGTATTACGCCTGCCACGAAAAAGTGAGGCCAGGTCATACGAAGTGCTGCACCTGTCATGCAAAATCATCTTCCCAAAACTGAAGATCTGATGCTCCAAAATGCAAACCCTCTCAGGAAATCAGCGCCCTCACCTCCTAACATCTCTGATGAACATCTCTCTTGTACTGCGCCTGCCACGGAAAATGCATCTTTGCAGATCCTCTTCAAATGTCCCACGCCTGCCATCGTTTTTGGAAATGCTACAAAACCCGCGCGTTTTGCTCACTTTTGACAAGGTGCACAATCCCTTGCGCCTGCCACGCGAAACGACATCTGAACGTCAAAAAGTGGTCCGAACATGTGATGCTTTTAACATGTTGACTTCGAAATTTGCTTCGCGCCACAATAGCGTGCACTTTTTCGACATCTCAACTTCCAAAAGTGCTCCGAACCCGTCAGTTTTTTTCACTTTTGACTTGGAAGTGTGCTTCCCGCCACAACAGCGTGCACTTTTTTGACATCGCAACTTCGAAAAGTGAGGTGTTTTGTACATTTTGACTTGGAAATGTGCTTCGCGCCACAACGGCGTGCACTTTTTCGACATCGCAACTTCTAAAAGTGCTCTGAAGCTGAAGTGTTTTGTACATTTTGACTTCGAAATGTGCTTCGCGCCGCAACGGCGTGCAATTTTCCATCTCTCATCTGGCCAGCTGGCTCCGCACCCGCCGCTTTAGCAAGCCTACTTTTCGACCCTCCGGAGCCGCAAATCATTGGAAAAACACAATGTTTCGCGACTTTCCTACCTTTTCGCGCACCTGGATCTTCTTTCTTCTGAGACTTTCTTTTTTTGATCTTCTTTCTTCTTCTCTTCTCTTCTCTGACTCTTCCCATCTCTGCTTTTCATCTGTCCATATTGTCGGAAGTTTGACTTCTAAACTTCCTTCGATTAGTATCACTTGCCAAAAACACTATTATTTCTAGTATTTTAAAGTCCTACACTGGTACATATCATTTATAATTCCACTACTTATACTATGATATTCCCAAAATCACTATTACGATATTATTAAGTATCACTTTTTTGGGGGGGAAGTCCTGCACTGTCGCGACTTTCGGATCGACGTTTCGGATGGGGTTCTTGCTTCAACAAGGTGACCTTTTGCATATCCCAGTTCCATGGGGGGCATAGTCACCTATGTATTATGTGTGTATAATGTTGGGGATAATGCCCCTAATAATGGAATCATCCATGAAAATAACATGAAAATAGTATTATGTTTATTTTGGGGGATAATTATTCCTATTCTCGTTGTTCTTCATTGTTATTCATGTGCTTTTACTATTGCGACATTGCGGCTACTATTATCTACTATTACCGTTTCTATTGCTATTACATGCTATTACCATAACATACTATTACTACTACGGTTACTATCATCTTTTTAACATTATTCATAGTATTCATGATCAATCGTTAGTATTAGATTATTAGTACTGGTAGTATTATATTTAATGTATATGTGTACAATCTACATACATATACTGGACGGCTGTAGGTTGTTCTCATGTTTCATCCAATCACTGGCTGGGACACAGCAAGTAGCAGATCCGATTACCTCATCAAGTACCAACACCTCAGCCTGAGTCCCATACACAAAATGAACCTCTTGCAAAGATAACATGAGCAAACATAGAAAAGTTGCATACAAGATCATAAAGAAAGCCAAGATTCGTCCAAATGAATCAGATGAATCGGCAGAGATTATGGGACCATTGGGACCATCCCAATCACCAGGCAGCATGCATCCGAGCGTCCATTTGTGCTGAAGAGAAGCATGCAATTTTGATAGAAGGTTCCACCTCACGTGTCTCCGGGCTGCTGTGGGATTTGAACATTAGTGCGACACGTGGCAGGCAATGCTTGAATGATCCTTGACGCAATGCAGCTTTTGTAGGTGCACCCCCTTTTCACACCCGCTTTAGAAACTGGCAAGTCACATCTTCAAACATGGCGAAATCTTAGTCAACGCCTATGAAATGATCATCCTGGGGGATGATTTCCTGGGGGATCATAGGCCTATGAAATTTATGGAAAAACCCATCATCCCTATGAAATGATCCATAAATTGTCCAGCTATTTTTCCATAAATCATCCAAGCATCCATTAACCAACCATTAACCATCCACTAACCATCCACTAACCAACCACTAACCAACCATTAAACAACCACCAGCCAACCATTAAATCACCGATTATTTCCCAGCTACAGTTCTCCACCAGGAAATATAGGAAATGAAAACATTGCTGAGCGGCCGCTTGAAGGACTTCTCGCACAGCCGCGTCCACCGCGGTGGTCAACCACCTGGCCATGGTTTAAAGACTTTCCCACAAAAAGATTGCCATATATTGTGTTAAATCCTCATGTCCAGATAAACCAGAAATCATATTGTTGCTTACACAACATATATATATATGCATTATATATATAATGTATGTATAATTATGAAAAAAAAATGTGCAATATATGTATAATATATGTAGAATTATGTATAGTTATGTAAAATATAATTATGAAAACATATATATATATACATGTAACTATGCATAATCATGTATAATGATGTATAATCAATTGTAATTATGTATAATTATGTTTAATTATGTATGATTATGTATAATCATTTATAATTATGTATAATTATGTATAATCAAATATAATTATGTATAATTATGTATAATTACGTATAATCATATATAAGTAAATATAATTCTTCTATTTCAGTAAAAATAACTCCCCACATCTTTGTGTGGGGTTCTTGTTTTTCATTCTGTATCCCGCCTCCGCCTCGCCCGCCGCCTCGCCCGCCTCACACACCATCTTTGTCACACACCATCTTTCACACACCATCTTTCACACACCGTCTTTGTCACTCACCATCTTTCACACACACCATCTTTCACAAACCATCTTTCACACCCCACTTTGTCCCAGACCATCTTTCACCACACCATCTTTCACACACAACTTTGTCACATACCATCTTTGGCACACGACTTTGTCACACACCATCTTTCACACACCATCTCTGACACCCTCTTTCACACACCATCTTTGTCACACACCATCTTTCACACACCATCTTTCACACCCAAATATGTCACACACCATCTTTCACACTCCATCTTTCACACACCACTTTGTCACCGGCACACCATCTTTCACACACCATTTTTCACACCACTTTGTCACACACCATCTTTCACACACCACTTTGTCACACACCATCTTTCACACACCATCTTTCACACACCATCTTTGGCACACCATCTTTGACACACCATCTTTCACACCACTTTGTCACACACCATCTTTCAAACACCGTCACAAACCATCTTTCACACCCCACTTTGTCTCAGACCATCTTTCACCACACCATCTTTCACACACCACTTTGTCACACACCATCTTTCACCACACCATCTTTCACACACAACTTTGTCACACACCATCTTTCGCCACACCATCTTTCACACACCACTTTGTCACACACCATCTTTCACACACCACTTTGTCACACGCTCTCTTTCACACGCAACTTTCACACACAACTTTGTCACATACACCATCTTTCTTTGTCACACACCATCTTTCACATACAACTTTGTCACACACAACTTTGTTTTACTTCTCGATCCTCCACCACCTCCTTTGTCTTTCCTTCCTTCCCCGTCCCCTCTACAAGATTTGGTGATCATTATTGGAAGAAGTTGCCTTGTGGGGCTTTCCGGTCCTTCAATTCTATATGTTTATTTGTATTTATGTAATGTATGTAATGTATGTAACGTATGTAATGGATGTAATGGATGTGATGGATGTGATGGATGTAGTGGATGTAATGGATGTTTTTTCAAACTAGCACAATGAGCTCCCGAAGCGCAGAAACGAAGCGGATGTTGCAAGCCAGATTCGCTTGCAGCTGCGTAGTGAAATTTTTACACAAGAAAAAACTGAAGCACCGTGCTTTCCAACAGAAGAGATTACCAAACGAAGTACCTCGAGAGGCCGAAGCCTTGGCAAGTCAATACCGTTAGAATGCTCTGAGAATAGCATGTTCTTTGACTTGCCGTAAATGGTTGATATTTGCAGGGTCAAACAGTACGCCTTGTCCATTTAAAAATGAAAAAGCATCTGTGCATGATTCTATCACCCAATCTAATTTTGGTCTGCCTGGTCTCCGATATACTACATGTCTGGGACGAATCCCATCTGCTGCGAATGTTACTTGAGAAAGTGGGTCGGCCCTACTGCATCTTAGAATGTGGCCAAAGAACTTAAGTTTGGCTTTGCGCCAGGTATCTCCAAACTTCTCAAAATTACATCCGTGTTGATCCCGGATTTCGGCATACATTCGCTCATTTGTTTCCTATCTGTCAATGAATGTAGGCAGTTTCCCAAGGATACGACGCAACGACTTATTCTGGAAAGCATCCAAGCGAGATATTTCTGCTGCTGTGAGTTGAATACATTCTAACCCATAAAGAAGTTTTGAGCGTATTATGGCGTTGAACACTTGGATTTTCCATTTTACTGTAGTGTTGGCTTTCGTCCAAAACAATTTCATCCGGTTAGCAGTAGCAATGCAGTCACCCAGTCTATTGAGAATTTCTGCCTTATTACTATTAGAATCCGTAAGTAAAGTACCTAGATAAACAGCAGAATTTTTCCTGGGGACCAATTTGCCTTGCCCAGGGCCTGTCGGCGAGAAACGGACTGATGAAACCCTCTGATTGGCAGTAATGTTTATACACTTATCATAATTCAAGTTTAGACCAAAATAATGAGAGTGCCTTTCAATAGCATGCAGCAAGACGTTTATACAACGAGTATTTGCGCCGAAAATGAGAGTGTCATCTGCAAACAAAACTTCAGAAAAATATATTCTGTCAATAGGTTCTTGCTGTCGAGGAGTGCGTAGTTCATCCTTCAAATCTGAGAAAAGGGCACCCATAAGAAGTACAAATAGATACGGACTCAGTGGGCAACCCTGTCTGATGCCAGAACGTTGTGATTTCCAATCTGAACTAGAATGACCAACTTTGACTTTAAATTGAGGATCTTCGTAAAAACTTGCGCCCAAGTTGCAAATCTTTGAGAGGACCATCAAACGTTTAAGAGTTTCGACCACCTTATCTTGACTTACCTTATCGAATGCCTTCTCCCAATCCAAAAGGATCAAAGTACTCCGTGATTTTGATTTTTCAGCATGATCTTGGAGTCGCCTTGCCAAGTAAATAGCTTGGCTTGTTGATTTTCGACGGCGAAATCCGTATTGAGTTTGCATCAGCCATGGATCAAGACCTGCCAGAAGCCTATTCTTGACAAGAGCAGCGACAATCTTATAACAGCAGGAAAGCAACGAAATGGGTCTATAATTAGCCAGAGAAGAGGAATCCCCTTTTTTATAAATAGAGACAACGACCGCGTTTAAGAATTTTCTGTCAATATGGCTCACTTCGAGGCAGTCGTTGGCTGCCTTAAACAGCAAGGTTCTGTTTTGATTATCAAGCCATTTATAAAGCTCTCCCGGAATTCCATCATCTCCTGGCGTTTTGTTTCGTTTCAACTGCGACAAAACAGAATCAAGCTCTTCAATTGTGAAAGGAGATTCGTCAACATGATAGGTTCCATTTTGAAGGGGAATATGCAGACGTGATTGATGAGAAGCATCAACAGTATTAGGTTTCCATTGAACATCATGAAGGTATTCAGCCGCTTTTTGGGGATAATCCTTGTAGAGAACATGTTTACCATTCGAATCTTTGAACTTGGTAAAAGCTGGAGTGAATTTAGCCCGCAGCTTCTTTAAACCGTCCCATTTATAGCCTTGTGCAGTAATTTCCTCCAGTTTTGCAAGTAAATCTTCTTCTCTGTCCATCTTGACTTGATTCTTGATACTGCTCTCTATGTGGGTTGCCTCCTCATGGTTCCCGTCCTCAATGGCTTTCCATTTTTGTTCCAGTAGGGCCCACGTGGCTGCTGAAATATACGATTTCTTCTGTTTGGGATCTAATTTAGGCAAGTGAGCCTGAGCGCTCTCGAGGATTATTTTGTTGAGAGCATCCATATTTGGAGGCCCGTTGCTGCCAGCATTGTCCGCTAGCATAGCTGTTTCTGAAACTTGCTTGTTGTAGTCTTCAAGCTGTTGAGCATTCGGGTTACGGAGTCTAATGCAAGAAGCGGGTGTGCTATGAATCTGAGATTTAAGCTTGAAATGGACAGAGGATCTCACTAGTTTGTGATCTGTATCAACAGCGTGCACCTGTGTCGTGGAAACATCCGTGACAGCATTCTTCCATTTGTTGTTAACAAGAACAAAATCACACTGCGCGTACTTGTGAAGCAGCCATGGTGGTTGCCAGGATTTTACACCTACTGCCTTGTATGTAACCAAATCTTCATCCAATTTTTGAAAAAATGTGTTTTTTGCAACTAAACAGTTTGCTAAGCAGAATTCCACGAATCGGGCGCGATTTCCAAGTTGAGCTTCACTTAAGTGATCAAGATCAGCCCAAGAAGTTCCCAAGGTGAAGGCGCCAAAGCATGATGTCTCATGCGGTAAGGCTTTGATGAGTCTGGCGTTAAAGTCACCTAGAATAAGACGCGGAGAGTAAGGATAGTGAATTTTAAGAAGTTGCTCCAGTTCATTGTAATGCTTCTCAGTGGCATCAGGGTCCGAATGACATGCCTGTGGAACATAGGTGGAAATTACATCAAGATATCCAGCCTGCATCCTAAGTGTCAGCATGATATTTCTGGCATCGTGTTGCCTGACATCAACAATAATTTTTTCCAGCCTCTTTGCGTACACTATGCCAACTCCGAGGTGTTCTATAGCTGCCCTAAAGACTTTATTGTGGGAATCATTATTTCGGGAAGCTTTACCGGATCTTTTGAGATTAATCGCTTTGTTTCGGTCTTCATCTTTCACTCCACTGGACCAGAACATAACGTAGTTGTCATGGCATTCCCTAGCGTTAGAGTTGATTTTTGTTTCTTGCAAGCAAAGAATATCAAGCTTGCCAAAGGGGGGCCCTGGAAAATTGGGTGGGTGATTGATGAAAGTCTCCTGGGCTTGGGTGTGGAGTGAAAGGTGATGATATGAAAGTCTTGGTGTAGCCTTCGGCTGAGAGTACCCAGAGATTACCTTGAGAGACCCGTAGGTCTTGCGGCAAGAGCCGCAGTTTTCTTTTTGGCGTTTATCTTTTCGAGTCTTTTTACCCTGCTTTGCCATCTGCTGTTCAATTGTGGCTTCCTTCTGTGAATGCGTTAAGGCCTCAAGGATAGGAGAATTAAAAGAAATCTTTCCCGAACGGTGCTCTGCAAAACGGACTGCTAGTTTACAAGGAAAAGTTTGGCTGGCAGCCGGCTGTACAGAGCTGCGCTTATAGGCCCGGCGGCTTCAGAAGACGTTCACCGTGAAAGGGAGGGTGGCTGTGCGGATTGCTTCGGTCCACAATGACTTCCACACATCCCAGTGGTTGATGGTATCCTCTACCGGTTTGATCTGGAGGGCAAAGGGGAATTTGCATTCTCTTCCATGTGAGGTGTGGTTCCACGGCATGGATTCTGCTTCTTGGCTGGGGTTGGATGAACGGCCTTTGCCCTTCCCCCTTGCTTTGCTACCGCCATTGAGTGTGTCATTGAACTTATGCTCATAGGAGGTCACAAACGCTTGGATGTCCGGGATGTTTTTGACGCTAAGGTACAAAGTAATGATGCCTTTGTCTGGGGCGAAGTGAGTCCAAAGGAGGTACTCATTGGTGTCCTTGTGCGTGAGAGTCAAATCTCTCCAGCTGTGCTTGAAGGGTACTTGGGATTCCTCTGTGATGGCCATGCCAATCTTGAGTGGGAGTCCAGTAATCCGATCCCACAAGCTGATTTGTGGTTGGATTTTCAACTCTTTCGCCTTAGACGCTGGTTCTTGGTAGTTGCCGAACTCCTTCTCAATGAGATTCCAATCTGTCACTTCCTTTTCATTGATGAAGAATCTTTCCTGAAGTTTGCCTGTGTTGCCGTTTTTCTTGGTGAAATCAAAGAGCTTGTTTCGTTGCCACGGTTGTGTCACTGTCACTACGGTGATTGGGGATACTGAATCTCCACGTGTCTGGTGGGAGAAGCTCCATTCCTTGTAGTATCCACCAGGTAAGCCCGCTTTCTTCGCGATCTCTTTGATCCATCTTTCTCTTGAAACTGACTGAGCCTCAAGTCGTTCACCTTGTTTTTCTGTGTCTTCCTTGTTCGGGATGAATGTGGACCAACCTCCGATGACGATTTCTTTCCTTGCTTTTTCACGAAGATGATCTGCATGTTGCGCGAGAAGGAATGAAGTCTGAATGCGAAGGGATTGGAGTTCCGTGAGAATGTCGTGGGCTTCGATCATCTGTGCATCTTCCGTTTCTTCTTTGGTTGGCTTCTCTCCGAATCTAAGTTTTCTAGTTACTGGTTCAGGCGTGTTTCCAGTTGTTTCTCTAGGACGAGTGCTCATCTCCACAAAGATGAAGGGAGCGGCTGGAGACACTACTAACGATCAGCGTTTTTGAACCCAAGATGCTAACAGACGCACGGTAAAGACGGTGTGCTGCTGGGGGCCTCTACGTGACACCAACTGCACCTTCTTGTACGCCATCTCAAAGCTCACCTTGGAAGCACTGTCTTCACCTTGCAGGAGCATGTCCTTGGGTTTGGCACGGCGACGCAGCATCCAGGCTGCCATTGCCGTCACGCCTGTGGAGGCAACGACCATGCTCAAAAGCCCCATGGCCTCCAAGTTTCCACGTTTCACAATGCTTGGATACGCTGAGATACGCTTGAGCCAAAATGGCTACGGATGTAATGGATGTAATGGATGTAATGAATGTAATGTATGTAATGTATGTCATGTATGTCATGTTTGTCATGTATGTAATGTATGTAATGGATGTAATGGATGTAATGGATGTAATGAATGTAATGTATGTAATGTATGTAATGGATGTAATGGATGTAATGGATGTAATGGATGTAATGGATGTAATGGATGTAATGGATGTAATGAATGTAATGTATGTAATGTATGTAATGTATGTAATGTATGTAATGTATGTCATGTATGTCATGTATGTCATGCATGTCATGCATGTCATGTTTGTCATGTATGTAATGTACGTAATGTATGTAATGGATGTAATGGATGTAATGGATGTAATGTATGTAATGGATGTAATGGATGTAATGGATGTAATGGATGTAATGGATGTAATGGATGTAATGTATGTCATGTATGTCATGTATGTCATGTATGTCATGTATGTCATGTATGTCATGTATGTCATGTATGTCATGTATGCCATGTATGTCATGTATGTCATGTATGTCATGTATGTCATGTATGTCATGTATGTCATGTACGTATTGTACGTATTGTACGTATTGTAGGTATTATAGGTATTGTACGTATTGTACGTATTGTACGTGTTGTATGTATTGTATGTATTGTATGTATTGTATGTATTGTATGTATTGTACTGTATTGTACTGTACTGTATTGTATTGTATATTGTATTGTATTGTATTGTATATTGTATTGTATTGTATTGTATTGTACTGTATTGTATGCATGCATGCATGTATGTATGCATGCATGCATGCATGTATGTATGTATGTACGAGTAATTACGTATATATGTCTATATATATAGCCTATATACATATATATATATATGTACATGTACTTGTATATATATATATCATCTCAATCATATCCCATAAAATATCCCCAAATGGTGGGATGAATACCTAAATTTTCGGATCTTCAAATTTCCGAACAAAATCTCCAGGGAGCGCCTCAAAAGCCTTGGTCGTGATCGGAAGATTTGGAATTCCGGAGGAACCTGCACCAAGGACTGCCTCAGCCGCGTCCGCAACGTCTTCTGGAACGAACATTGGACCATTTCAAGGTGCGGTACCAAATAGTAAAGCCCCAAAGATACAGAAAAGTGACATCGAAGCCAACATTTTACGATAGTTAAAAAAAATTGCTTGCCTGTCATTTTTTGGCCAAAAAAAGACCTACGGAAAAAAAGAAGAGTTCATTTATGTTCATTTGCCAGCTGTGCCAGGGCACGAATATCTACCTGGACTGCCCTGCCTGAGTTCTATCCCATTTCATCCCCAATCGGGAAATCTGACCCACCCGAAGTCAGCTTCCGAGCATTGGTTTAAGGGAACATTTACTCCCAACCGAGTTCTGGATAGTTACCGTGAAACAGAGGAATAGGCACATACGGCATACGGCTGAATTGCAATTTTTTGGGGTTCACCAGCCGGAAATAAGGCCTTCCTTGGGGATAGTCAACTTCAATTGATTACTCACCATCCTTCCAGTGATGCCGCAGGGAGGTCGCTTACTTAGCTCCACACAGCATTGGAGTGATGTGATTTTCATCATGCTGTTGCGCCTCAGTGGTCGAATGGGAAGGGCCCCATCTGGATAGATCCAACGAATTGCTAAGGGGGGGCCCTTCCTCTATGAATTCCAGGGCTCCAGGGGGCAAAGAAACCTGTGCGAAGTCCGAAACGCGGAGTCACACTCAAAAAAACGCTGGTGTTACCCTCCGGTAAACTACTATAGCTATGGAAAATCACCATTTTTTATGGGTAAATCCACTATAAATCACCATTTTCAATAGCTATGTTAGTCATTGCCAGAGGGATCCAGAGGGTAGCTGCATGATAAACAACATGCGGCCTTCCTTTATGGTTACAACTTGGCTTCCTGACCGCAGCTTGAGGAACTGCATGTTGGGGCATCGCCCTGCTACGCATATACACACATGTACACAGCCTATGATGCACTTACAAAGCACCACCCACATCATAGAATATATTGGAATATATCATATATGCACCAAGATAAATTCATGTCAATGCACTTCAGAGCTTGCCATACACTTCTCACCTCGCATGTCGATCTTGCTCTCGGAGCTGGTATGTCTGCTGCTGCCTTGGTTTTTCGCCACCCGCCTGAACATATGCGTGTCATTGGGGATCATCATCCCACAAATATATACAAATATGAAATATGGCTAAAAAAAATTAAGATAAACGCTACATCCCCCACTTTTGGCTGAAAATAACAAATATATGAACGAAACCAGCAGAGAAAGATGTTGGAAAGGGTCTTCTTTGGCACGGTCGCGTACATCCGATCGATTCGGTGGCACCGGGGTAATTGTCCCCCATTTTTGCCGAGCCATGTGGAGAACACTAAGAAAGCCACTGAACATAGGCACGGTATTCCATCTCTCTTTGGCCATGTTCACCTGGAGATTGCAATGGGTTTCGTCTTGAAATGTTGGGAACAACATGGAACACCTATGCATATATATATATATATATGTATATGAATATGTATATATAGTAGGTGATTGGCAGTTGGAATCGGTAAGTCAGTGCGACAATCACTTAGAATTGCTTCTCAGTGATACCTGGGGAGTGCACTAAGAATTGCTGCGGGTGCACTAAGAACTGCCGGCAGTGATATTATAAGAATGCACTAAGAATTAGAAGGCCATATCATAACCATGCACTTAGAATTGTATCAACTCCTAGTGGTACCCCCAAATCATCCATTTTTTATAGTATTTTCTACTGTAAACCGTCCATTTTGGGGTACGGGTACCCCCATTTATACATAAATTGTCCAAATCATCCATTTTGGGGTACCCCCATGTGAAAAATTCTATGTGTTAGAAATGCGTATAAAACGATTCTAAGCCGCTTTTTTCCTAGCACTTAGAAATGGCAGATTTCTCTAAGGCAAAAATGAGGGAAAAAAATCTACCTGCTGGTCACTTACTATATATATATATGTGTATGTATGTATGTATGTATGTATGTATGTATGTATGTATGTATGTATGTATGTATGTATGTAGGTAGGTAGGTAGGTAGGTAGGTAGGTAGGTATGTATGTATGTATGTATACATATTATATATATATACACATATTGTATATAACTATATAAGTGTCCCGGATACATGGGAAAATGAGATAGGCCATGGCAAAACATGATTTTACACCATTTGACTCCCCCAAATGCCAAAGAAGAGCAGCGAGGCGTCCAGTTTTCAATATCAACATATATCAACCACCAACGAATATTTCAGGGCGCTTTTTTGTGTCACCCAAATCGCTACTGTTTGACATGGTAATGGTGTGGAAAAAACATGTTGAAATCGTTGGACCCTGAAAATGATCTACAGATCTGGATCAATGCATCATATGTTTGGCTTTGAATACATCGAAAGGGAGACACTTGAGAACCCGGGGATACCCCAAAAAAAACGGCAATGGGGGAAAATGATATATTTCATTAACCATTCGTGACAAAGCCATATATTCAGCTTTTATTTCAATGGCTTCGGAACAACCCTTGACATTTCCTCAAACTCCGTTTGATCACAACGGGACAGTCACCTTGCTGCCAATAGGCTTGTTGTGGCCTGGCACACCGGCGACCGGGTCCATGGTGATCCATGCAGCAGAAATGACCGGATCCTCGCTATTTTTTGGATAGAAGGGCAGAGCAATATGGAAATCAACATGGGTTTAGTTGGAAATGATCTACAAATGTTGGGTTTTCATAAACATATATTCTACATGTGTATATATATATATATATATCATACATCATATATAATACATCTATCTATATTATAGAATCTATATTTATAAATCTATTTACGGTCAGAAACCACTGGACAACAAGTGTCCACTCAGCGGCCTTTGCGGAGGAGCCCTGGGCCACAGAAGTTGAAATGGCACTCGTAGCAATCTTTGAACCTAAACCCTCAACAGTTTGCGAAGTGGAAATCACCATTTTTGGATATATAATAATGGATAATATCTTACTGGTGCTAGTAGGGAATGGATGGGAATGGGGGTTGCTGGGATGATTATTACTAGTGAGCCAGTGGATCATTCCCGAAAATTCCCTACGTAAGTTTAGCACCAGTAAGATCAATAGGTAAATCAACGAACAATCAACGAGCGAAACGGGCCATCTATACCATGGCAAACTGTTACCATCTGGTTATTTAACATAGCCATAGAAAATCCCTTATAAATGGAGGTTTTAATGGGAAAATCATCTATAAATGGGCCATTTTCCATGGCTATGTTAAATAACCAGAGGGTAGTTTATCAGAGGCTGCCCACTAGGATCCAGGCAAGTCCTGAGGCATCTCCTGGCGCAGCGTTTTTGCCAGCCCCGCTCGCTGGCGTTCCCTACATCTGCCACATGTTGATGTATTTAGATGTATTTAGATGTATACTTCGCGTGTATATCATTCATATTAGTGTGCTTTGCAAAGTGTCAGATATAAGTCATATACTGAAAGAGTCCGTATAAGGACATAGACAAAAACTTCAAAGAAATCGGAAAAAGAGCTGTACCTGAGGACGATGTTTGCCTCCCAGATCAGGACCTGCGGATGAAAACCGCGTGCCTAGTTCTGTGTATTTTATGAAAATGGGCTGGGGTGGGGCGGGCCAATAACGTTCCATTGCACTTACACACATACTTCCTGCTTTGAACAAGCGACTGCAGAAATGAGGAGGAAAAAACGTCGTGCTTTGAAGAAGCTCTGCCCTGTAAAACCCAATGGAATGTTACAATGGATCTTCAAAATCTCCGGGATTTCAATGATTTTCAAGGTGCAATTCCAACACGAAATGATTCCAGCGCTGTGGCGCCAAGCACATTTGATTCCAAAACATGGACAACCGCGATCGCGTGGTTGTCACCCCGCCGCGTTGTTTTTGAACCTCCAACTGGAGCGCGGCGAGTACGGAGCAGATCCTCAGGGGACATGGACACGAGAAGCTTCACTTTCTGTGTATGGTTCAGAATGAGGTATTCCAAACTCGATTGCTCAAAACACATCAAAACACCACAAGAAAGATCGTTCCCTGGGGCAAGTTGACACAAAAATATTGGGCGATCGATCTATCGACACTGAACAGAACTTTTATCAAAAAGTTACACCTGTGCAACATGTCCGATATTGGGATGCTAGAAAATAGTGCATGCCTTTTTTATCTCCAAATTTGATGGTGCTTTTGATGGGAAAAAATATGTTCTGAACTATCAAAGGCTTTCCATAATTTTCAGTACCAAACCCACATTCCTAGTAGCGATGGTTTTGTGTACAGATTTCGGCTGCCATTCAACGTCACACAATTTTGGCTTCGGGCATAGGCAAAGTCGCAATCTGTGCTACATATTACATGTTAATTGATGACTTTCCCGCATAGAATTATATAAATGTATCCAAGAGGCAAATCAGACAGCTAGCTCAACAGACGCCGAGAAGTCTGCGAAGCGTCAACTGTGCAGAAGCACAGAAATATGAGAAATGAGAGCTTGGTCCCCAAGGGTGTGGACCTCCACAATTTCAGACGGAATTCTTTGAAATGGTGTGGTGATGTATGGTGTTCAATGCTAGCCAAATAACATACCCATCTGGTCTATCTGGCTTTGAACATATGCTATCCCAAAAAATCCAGTGGTGTTTTTTTTCCATCATACATGATACATTGATACATCAAACGCATTCAAAAACCTACAAGTTATATACACCATAATTAAATTTATAGTGGGGATGAAGGAACTTCCATCAAAATCCCCAGCTCGCTTCGCGAAAAATCTCCAGCGACTCGCCCAGCGTCGCTTTTGGGCCAAGTGTTGACGTCAATCTGGAGGTGTCTGAAGAGGACCTCCCCGGAAGCGCTCCGAAGACTCCGGATTCGAAAAGGATGACTACCGATACGACTACGATACGATATGAATGTTGCAGTATAGCATAGTTATAGGTATATGAATATATATATATATATATATGTGCGTGTGTGTATATATAATATTTTTTATATATATATATCCAGAGTTATATTTACAGCACGGATATAGTTACGAACAATTGCTACATAAAATAACACGAGCTGGAATAAACATGCTGGAAGAATGGAACCGCATGTGCTGCTGCACCATTTAGACGCGCTTGCAAAGGTCGAACATGTCGAACCAATTACACACTGCAGGTGGGTGTAGCTTGAATGGCTGTCCCTGCACAGGTCTGATGCTAGGCGTGTACAAAGTTCCCAGATTGACAGAAACACATCCGCCATTTACGGAACTTATTGACGTTGATGCTCGTCTAATGGGCGGCTTCGACTTGTCCCAGTCCAGTCGTCCAGTCGTCTATTCTATTTGGTCAGACCACCTCCACCTCGAAACTGAGGTTCGTTCGAAGATCAGGGACCTCGGCGCCGACCACTTCCACTGAAAAAAACAACTACCATAATTGGCCCAGGGTTGAAAGCATTCTCCCACCCATTTGATGGGAAATTTGGGGATGATGGCTATTGATTACTTTCTTGTTGAGTTTACCACAATTCCTAAAAATTGATTGAATTGAAACCATGCCCAATTCGAGGTCTAAGGCATCGGTTTCACATGGTAAAAAGCATGTTGCCATGTCTTTAGGGAGCTGCTAAATCAGAGCTGCTAAATCAAACCCGTTTCAAACTCCCCGCACCAATTGCTGATGACGTCCCCTTGGTCCTCTTTCAGACCGTTTCCATCTGGCTTTCTCCAAAACAGGGGATTACTCTAATTTCATCCAAATTATTGTAATATATATATATATGTCATATCATATCATATCATATCATATATAGTAGTAGATGCAATAAAGGACACACTATTAATATCATACATAATATTAAATAAATATATTGCATACATCTAAGGTTACATTAGTTTAGATATCAGCCATGGTCTCCTGGGTTCTCAGGTTCCCTCAGGTTCCCTCAGGTTCCCTCAGGTTCCCTACGCCATGGATCTCAGCCACCAGACTCCTGAGCCGTGTTTATCATCACAAAGGATCACCCACCCATGATCTACCTAGAAGCATTTTATATGGGAAATTACCATGTTTTTTTTGCATAGAAAGCATATGTATATATACATTATATACATATAGTAGCTTTTGATCCATCCCTACATATGCAGAATGAGATCAACTTTTGAAAATAATCTTGTGTTTGCGCCATGTTTCTTTAATGTGTGAAAGGACGTCATGCAGCATGATGCCAGGCGCATGAAACACACTGTGCATTTGACAAGAGCAACATGAGTATCCTGGTATGACCCAAAACAAACATGATTTAAAATGCTTCAACGCTCAAAATGACTGCGCGAATGACTCGTTTGGTAACTCCTTTTTGTACCAAAAAAAACAACATAAATCGATGGTCCACAACGCGGCAACGAGAAATCCATGACACCATCTTTTCCCATCGGGGAATGGTCATCCCTACATCAAACTATCGGGTACTTGGAGGATCATCAACTGGGGTTATAAGCCATTTATAACTCGTTTGTTTTGTAAGTCTCAGTTACTAACACAACCAAAAAAACAAAACATGAACTCAAAAAAAACAATCAATTAATGTGGTTTAAACCATTCCCAAATGGGTATTTTATTATTGTTTTAACCACATTACTCGCTTATAGCCTCAATTACTCAGTTCCTAACCACTTACCCTCTGGTAATTACTAACAGTTTGCTACTGAAAATGGCACAGCTAGTTCGTTGATTTACCGTTTTTAAAGATGGTAATTTCCAGTTCGCAAACTCTTAGTTTACCAAAGGGTATAGCATATTTACCAACATATTACCCACATATTCACCAACATATTCCACCATATTCCATATTTACCACCATATTTAATATGGTAAACTCACAGTGGGGGTGATTTACCAGAGGGTAATGGGATCCTTCAAGTCTGGGCTGGGATGACCGTCTGCGCCCGCCCTGCGCCAAACGCGCCAAGCAGCAACAGCCCCGTGGTCCACGGAGATGGCAGCTTAAACCTCGAGGTGCGGCGAGGATACGGGAAATTACGGGAAAATTATGGGACATTTGTGGGAAATTAGGGGAGAATTATGGGAAATGATGGGATAGTTCCAATTTATTGGGGATATTTAATGGAATACTTCACCAACAGCAATGCGATACTTTTGGGGTATACCCCAAAATTGCCGTTTTGATTAGGCAAAAATCTTTAGTCATTGATTTCGGTGGTACCCTTTACTTTCAGGCAAACCCAAATGGCGATTCAACTTGGAAAATGGCAAAAGATTGAAGAGTTCAAAGTCACTTAACAAGAGATCGCCAACAAAGATTTTTAGCAAAGCATGGAGACATTCCGCACACAACCTGACGTGCATCGGCTTCCGAGAGCCTGCGGAACAGCTGCAATCCGCAGTTAACAGTCCGCAGTTAACAGAACCCTGGTGGCCCTGGCAATGTCTCTGTGGATCTCGTTGGTATTACGGCTTTTGGTCCTTGTGAAGTTGTGGCAAATCCGAAATTGTAAATATTGTCAACTGGTAGACCCAACAAGTAACCATCCTTAGGCAAAAACAACTGGCAGACGTTTGTGGCATTGACTTTATCACATTGAATATCTAGAAATGGTAGACCCCAATTTGTAAATGGTTTGGAAGTGAGTTATAAACAGATAAGAGATATATATATATAACAATACATATATATATATATATATATTACTATATATGTATACAGTATATACATTTACATATTACATATATATATATATAACATTGACATGGACTTAATAAACGGAATAGATACTGTAATATCATATATGTATATGGGTACAGGTCAAAGATCGGTACCCCAAGAACTAAATGGTGAATATTGAACATATACTAAAAAATGTGGTCCCATAAGACTTACAGATTGACCCACCCCCTATATATATATATATACAGTACATATATAATATCTACCATGTATTCCAATATATCATATACTATATCATTATTGTATCAGTATGATAAATATTAAAATAGTAATATATCATATAATATATTACATGTAATACATTACATATAATATAGTCCATATAATATATTACATAAAATATAGCTCATATTATATAATATATTACTTATTACGTAATATATAATATCATTATCATCCAATATCATTATATAATATCATACATTAAATCATAGATTGTATCAAATTACATATATATATATGTATATATATCATGTGTTTTGTTTTACCTATAATATCAACGGGAGAACTTCAGCACTTCAGGACATACGGGCGGCGAAGCTCGCCGCCCGAAGCCGGGCCCCCAGACACACGCGACTTCTCCACCGCTTCCAGGATCTGCCCGTTTGGCTTTGATGAATTCTATGGGGTAATAAATGGTGTACCCTCTGGTAATTTAACGTAGCTATGGAAAATCACCATTTTCAATGGGAAAATCCACTATTTCTATGGCCATTTTCAATAGCTATGTTAAATTACCAGAGGGTAATAAATGGTTCCATCAAATTGGGAAAATCATGGAAAATCCATGAAAAATGATATTAAATGTTTGATGAAGAATTGTATTCAATGGCCAACAGGAACCGATTCATTGGAGGTACCGATTCCATATATTTGTGGCCTATTTGTCAAGCCTATGTAAGGGAATATCCCCACAAAATATGGTCTTATATGGTACAGCACCTCCATTTTAGGATCAATTCCCATTGATGTACGGGGGGGGTCCATAATTGGGGTAATCCAAAAATGGTTGGTTTATAATTGAAAATCCTAATCTAAAATGGATGATAACTGGGGGTAGCCCTATTTCAGGAAACCACCGTGTGAGTTCTAGTATAATGATCCAGCTATCATCCATCTATCATAGTTCATCTATGTTATATGATGTTATATATGTGTTTGTAGTGTGATTGATGGATAATTGATGAGCTGATATTTGTGAATTGTATGAGTTCTATCAATTGTAGGAGTTCACAAATCCATTTGCTATACGAGTTGCTTACATAATTTGATTATGGTTGACTATACTTGTTAGGTATTTCACATTTACACTCACAGGTTATAGTTGAACATAAGTGCTGCGTATTTCGCATTTGGAATCGCAGATTGTACAGTAGGTGACCGCAATGGCTACCTATCTTACATTTAGACTCATACATAATAGTTGCAGTATAATTGCGAGTTGACTGGTAGATTGTAGCTATTGCATGTTAGTGAACTAACAAAAATTGGTTTAGTGTTTACATCAGGCTAATAACATTCATCCATATGATGTATGTGTACAATAATTTTATCATGATAGTCATATCAGTGATTGTCAACCAACAATATTAATTATTCTAGTTCATTGGATATAATCTACATTGATCTACAGTGTCATAACTAAATTATGAATATCATCCCTCAGACATGTTCCCTTTTTATCAAATTTCCCTGGACGAAACCCGGGTGAAATATTTTGGATCTATTCATGGTGGCATATTCAGGTAGTCCCGATCTTTTACTGGTTGGTGATTGAGCCACCCCTCTGAAAATATATGAAAGTCAGTTGCGATGATGACATTCCCAATACCCTCTGGTAAACTAACATAGCTATGGAAAATCACCATTTTTCATGGGAAAATCCACTATAAATGGCCATTTTCAATAGCTATGTTAGTCATTACCAGAGGGTATATGGGAAAATAAAAGCCATGTTCCAAACCACCAACCAGTTTTATGTTGGAGGGTTAGGAGTTTTTCGATTTTGCACTCAAGAACTACTTGGTGATTCCCCAACAAAAAGCAAGCTCTAAGCCTAGTTGTCTATGTTCACATGGATGTGGGTCAAAATGGAAGACCTAGGGGACCACAGATGTTAGTCTAGTTTAGTATTCACCATCCAATTATTGGGGTACCTAATTTTGACCCATACCCATATACTCAGGTCTCTAACCTACTCGTCTAAAAATAGGCTACCCCTCAATCTACTAGTCAATCATCACCCTATGAAAGGGCCAAAAAAAAGGGGGGACTGGGGGTGGGCTCCTCTCTGCTTTTTTGTGAAACGGCCACAATTGGGGGGGGTACCCTATCTTTAGACTGACCCAGAAAAAGTTCAATGTGGTAAACCCAAAGCCTTATACCATCCCCAAAATCCCTTTTCAATGAGTGCTATAACCCCATCCAAATGGGAGTTGTTTATGGCAGCCAGGGTTTCCCACGTACTTGGATTCCTTTTACTTGACTTATTTTATAGTTATATCTTTCCCACACTAAATATTCAAGTAAACCATAATAATTCTAATATATCACAAAAAACATAACCCTCACACTATAATTCCATATAATTCCCACATTGCCGAGTTACTAATATTAATGTCATTATTAGTCTTATTATTGTTATTATTATTATTATTAAAGATTATTATTACTATTATTATATATTATATATATATACATACCCACATGACGGATGATCATTTGCACCTCCGTGACACCGCGCCTTGCAGGCCATAGGCAACACTGCTGTCAGGCGCTGATTCCTCGGAAGTAACTGTCCCATGGGGAGCAGTTGTAGGGTGTCATCAGAAAAAGAGCCGTTGAACTTGTAGATTATATATATAATAAATTAGATTTGTTAATAAATTGAAATCGTTAATTTTATTGTAACACCTCCATTAGTATGATTAATCCATGAAACACTATAAATGGGGATTATGATATGGGGATTTCCATAAATGGGCGATCCCCAATAGCTGGTTGGTTTATAATTAATGGAAGAGCCTATTAAAATGGATGATTTAGGGGTACCCCCCCCATTTCAGGAAACCTCCATATATAATCATATATATATAATTAGAATTGTTGATAATTGTAACACCTCCATCAAAATAATTAATCCATGAAATAAACACTATAGATTAATTATCAACGATTCATGATAACTCCATTGATCCACTGAACACTGTAGCTAACAATAATGAATTATTGATGCCTGATGGCTATTTATAATATACAATAGCCATAAATCATCGTGAATCCATCAAACACCATAGCTAATCATACCAACCCTAATTGAACTGGAACGATTCTCCCAACAATATTGATAAGATCTGCTAAGATATGATTGTGCAGTGAACCTACCAGGAAGGCGTTTCAGGTGTAAATCGAGTCCGGCACTCGTACGCATCAAGAAGCAAATCCTTGATGTCCATGCTCTTGCCTTGGTCATCCACACAAGGTTTGATTGGTTTGATTGGTTTGATCCACACTGATCCCCGTTGGTGCATTCATCTCAAATCCCTGTAGTTCTTAAAATTTATCACTCCAAATCTCTCTGGCAGGACCCTGAGTTTCCAGCTCTTCAGAGGATAGTCTCGCCCAACCGTGATCAGCCCTGTGCCGAGCACAGGGCAGCTTGGTAAAGCTAGGCGCAAGATGCCGCAAGCACCCTTGTTGAGTGGCAAGCATATCCGCTTACCCATTATTTGATCGGTATTTAGTATTTACCCCATAAGATAGTGCGATTTTTTGTGGGTCAACTGAGGGTCAAAGGTATATCAACCCCTACTAATTATAGCATTTTTGTGGATCCTCTACACGAATCGAGTCGAAATTTTAGCTCAGCTGACACTGAGGTGTCATTTCGGAGGTGCTCCATTTTTGAAGAGATTGATGATTCGCACCATGACCTCTTTGACTCCTAAAATACGCGGAGAAAGCTTGTAGCTTCACATTGATTCGCTGACGAAACGCTTCAATTGTCTTCAACTCATGAATACGCTACGCATGTCTGAACACCTGGAAAAAATGGAAACATATATCTAAAATATATATATATCATATATATATATAATAAACATAGTTTTGCAAAGCTTTATAGAAATCTATGGGTTTAGCCAATGTCCAGTGGATCACGACACGACGCCTAGCCATGTTCCCAAGCTCTTCAGCGCCGTCCGGTGGCTCGACGAATGGACCGCCTGCCAGGTTCCCATCATTGCCCATCCGTGGCACGGACGGAATTTCCATGGAATTTCCCTTGGAAACTGCGGCTTCCCGACCGGTTTTAAGAAAACTATCATTGGATATCATTGGTGAAAACTATAGAAAACTGAGAAACATGATAGAAAACTATAGAAAACAATTTTCTCAGTTAAACCGCTTTTAAGATCCTTTTTGTTGGAGAAAACTCTATAGAAAACTCAGAAAACTGAAAACCGATTCCAACCGTTCCCTTCACCTCATCCACTGCTTTCATCATCAATCGCAGGCATTCAAAGGTCATGTTGATGAGCTGCGCGGGAGGGTCATCTCAGGGATCATGGTTGGTGTTGGGATTACCATCGTTATACGAACTCGTTATCTGGTTGGTGGTTGGTGTTTCAACCCCTCTGAAAAATGATGGAGTTAAAGTCAGTTGGGATGATGACATTCCCAATCTATGGAAAGTCATTCAAAATTCATGTCCAAATCACAAACCAGTCTATCGTTATAGAGTGATCCCCACTTGTAAGTGGGACAGACCTTACTACCCTCTGGTAATTCAACATAGCTATTGAACATGGCCATTTATAGTGAGTTTTCCCAATAAGAAAGACCATGTTCAATAGCTATGTTAAATTACCAGAGGGTAATAAGTGGGATATGTTCACCAGTTCTGACGGATGATGATCCTCCCGGTACGAGTTGATGATGAAAAAACACCAGATGTCGACAGTGGCTCTAACTTAACTAGGGACCGACCAGACCAGAGTCACTGTCGATTGGTGGATTTTGGTGCTTAAGCCTCCACCCTTGTTTTTAGTTCCTTTACGTACAGTACCCTCTGGTAATGACTAACATAGCTATTGAAAATCACCATAGAAATAGTGGAATTTCCCATTAAACAATGGTGATTTTCCATAGTTATGTTAAATTACCAGAGGGTATCGCAAAAAAGAATCGTTGAATTTCTTTGACCTTTTTTGCAATCCGCAGAGAACTAGGAGTGTCCTCCCAGTCAGAATGCGAAGCTGTGCACAGCAGCGCACATATTTTTTCGGTCGCACTTGGACAAATCATCCGCTGCCACAAAGCAGGCACTGGCTCCCTCAAAGAACTCCTGCTGTTCAGATTCCACAAAGGATCCCGGTGCATCTCAGCTTGATTCATAACCATGGCTCAAGCAGGTTATGAGGGATATATACGTGCTTTTATTTTGCACAGGTTATCCCAGAAAATGATCCGACCCGAGAGATGTTGCGGGAAAGTGAAAAATAACTACATCAATGAAGCGGAGGAACCGTCAGGTTCTCCGAAACCCAAACATGAATATGACTTGAATACTTTATGTACATTGTCCCGCCTAATTCATCCCGATATAGTATGTATATACAATACACAAATATACAGACATACTGACATACATTACATACATTACATACATTACTCACATTGCATACATTGCATACATTGCATACATTGCATACATTGCCATGCATCCATGCATCCATGCATTTATGCATTTATGCATTTATGCACTTATGCACTTATGCATTTATGCATTTATGCATTTATGCATTTATGCATTTATGCATCCATCCATCCATCCATCCATCCATCCTTCCTTCCTTCCATCCATCCATCCATCCATCCATCCATCCCTTCATCCGCACATACCTACCTATCTACCTACCTACCTACATTCATACATACATAACATACATTACATTACATTGCATTACATTACATTACAATACATTTACAATACCAATACCAATACAATTACCAATACCAACACCAATACATTACATTACAATACAATACCCATACCAATACCAATACCAATACCAATACCAATACAATACAATACATACAATACATTATACAATTCATTATATAATGCACATAAAAAATGATACATATAATACATGTAATATTATACATATAATACATATGATACATATGATGCATATAATACATATAATACATATAATACATATGATGCATATAATACATGTAACACATGTAATACATGTAGTGCATATAATACATGCAATGCATACAATACATATAATACATATAATACATATAATACATGTAATACATATAATACATACAATACATATAATACATATATAACATATAATACATATAATACATATATAACATATAATACATATAATACATATAATACATAAAATACATATAATACATAAAATACATATAATACATATAATACATATAATTCATATACTACATATAATTCATATACTACATATAATGCATATACTACTTATAATGCATACATACAGTTACGTATATCTATATATATATATCAAGATTCTGAGTGATGGATGTCACAACAAAACCACCCGTCCTACCAGCTGCTGCCACCCGCGGGAGCGCTCCAATCGTCCGCCGCCGCCGGAGCATCCCAGGAAGCATCGCCCTGAGCAGCCTCGAAGCCACCCGAAGGGTTGGGCGCTGCGGGGTGAGGTTGGGGTTCATATGTGGTTTATATTTGGTTGAATATGGTTTATATGTGGTTTATATCACTGGATTTCCTAGAAAACACTGAACATTTTGAATAATTGAAGGACATTGAAGGTTGATTGAAAGATTCGATAAGAACTTTCGCAATTTTCACAGTCTCTGAAATCGATGTGGAGGCGAAAAGCTGTGGGATGACCCCAGGCGCGGCCTGAGTGATGTCATCCCAGTTGCCACCTGCGGTGCTCAACATGGCTCAAGTCGCTGGCTATGACCTTCAATCTCACCTCAAATGAGGCCCAAAACATCATCCAATGCCCAAAATTGCCCAAATCATGTGGCATTGAACCACAATTTCGATCGCCTCCGCCAGCACCTTCCCAAGTGGTCGGGGCAGCTTGAGGCTGAGCCCAGTCCTGCTGAGCCTCCTCCTGGTGTTGTTTTTTGGGTGATGTTCCAATAGTTTTGACGGTTTTTCTTGGTTTTTCTTGGTTTTTGAAGTGATGCTTTCTTGACGTTTTTTGGTGGTTCGCTTGATTTTTTGGTGATTTTCCAGGAAAATGCTTTTTGAATGGCGTGTCATTGGTTTTGGCTATGATCTATACTGATAGTCATTGATTTTCACTGATGACGTGCACTGATCTTCATTGCTTGTCATTGGTTCACATGTTTTTTCTGAACACTGCACTGCACTGACTGTCATGAATTGTCCTGGCGGGTGGTTGATTGTCACTATTCTTCTTTGTTCGTGGCGAAGTCAGAGGTCCAAAGTGATCAGATTGTCACGTTCTGTTCATCCCATTTGGCAAATGAGGCGCTGGCATGTGCTGATGAAAACACCTTATTCATCGTGTATCATATCTAAGTCCATAATTATTTACATACATATATACATATATATATATCGACATGGATACAAAGCGATACAAAGACTGAGAGGTTTTAATATCGTATATTGATGCATACATATTCCTACTTTCCAATCATAAAACCCCTGCATAAAGATCCATCTCTCACGCGATGCAGGAACCCGAAAATGCAGAATTCGTGCCATTAAGGAAATCACAAAATACTCCGAAGTGCCAGTGTGTAAATGATCAATATGTCAATATTAGTGTGCTTCAATAGATATTGGCTCGTGAATCTGCCGGTTGTTTTAGGCGTCCTGCTGCATGATTTCTTCAGGATCGCGCCAGAAGAAGGAATCCACCATGACGTCCTGGGATGGCAGATTTTCACGTTTGGCGTCGCTGGGAGTCGAAATTCAACTGAAACTCAACTGGAATCCATGAATGGATCAACAGATCAGAGCACGTCTTTTAGGTAGACATTTGAAAGTTCATGAAAATTGAAGAAAGATCTATGGCAGTTTTCGATATACACAAGTTCAAGAAATCACCATGAAATCACCCTATTAAAATCTATTAAAGTCACGTTCAATAGGGAAAGCACATGGAGAAACATGGGGAGGAACACCTCCACCGAGCCAAGGTTCCCAAGGCTGGGTACGTGGCAGAGTTCCCCGGAGGTATAGCACCTGTACATGTTCGGAAGCGACCGATCCGAGATTTCCACATTCTCTCCATGGGTGGCTAAATCCCCTTGAAGTCGCCCATTTTCTGGGTTTTTTTCTTCACTTCTCGTATTGTTGAGTGAGCAGCATTGCGTTTACCGACCTCTTTTTTTGTGGGTGTATACTCCCAAATATATAATATATATATATATATGTATAAACAGAAATATCATGAACTATCCCAAAAATATCCCCGTCTATTCTCACAAAAAGGCCAACAGACATCGACCTCACGAGCCAACATCCAGTAGAGCAGGGCGATGGACTCTTTGCCTAGTTTCGTTTCGGTGAAACTCAAAGAGAAAGATGTGTGTAGTACAGTTTACGTCACTTTGTATATTAATGTCTATGAGATTCTATGAGTATATCAATGTCTATGATGTATAGAAATATGTCACACAGTTTATTTATGTCTATGTATAATACTGTATATTGATTTTTTGTTGCATTGTTCTACTTATGTCTATATATATTATATTAATAAATATTATATGTTACATCTCTAAATCCATCATGTCTTTCTCTTTTACTCACTGCTACTGAAAGTCGTATCTGAAAGATCTTGGAGATTGATGAAGACTCTCAAAATCCTGCCACAGTGCCACTTTTTAACAGCCTTCATTTGGCAAGCTCTTCAGAGACAACACTGGTGGATTGTCTTCTGCCAATGATTGTCCAGCAAAGTGTAGCACTGCAGCTGAATGGGTCCGTGGAGTGGCACTATGTGGCTCTATGTTCAAGCTGTATTTCCAGCACCTTATTTTTGAGCTACTGATCTATGTAAGGACTAAATAAAGAACGCCCTAAGGATGCCTAAGGTACTATCCCCGCGGAAAAAATATGGCATTTTTTTGTGTACACTTCATCCATTAAAAAGGATCCTGAAATTCCGATTGACATGTGGCTTTGTCCAAAAATGAGTAGTCACGTAGTCCCCAAAGAGATAGAACCATAAAATCCGAATAAAAAATAGTGACGAAATATTGCTCTACCATCTGGTTATTTAACATAGCCATGGAAAATCACCATTTTTTATAGGTAAACCCAGGTAAACCATCTATAAATGGGCCATTTCCCATGGCTATGTTAAATAGCCAGAGGGTATCTCTTCATGACTTTTCCCCCCTCAGCGGCGGTGCTTCTCTCACAGGCTTGTCTCCACTTAGGAGAAGCCCCACAGGGAAGACCCTGGACATTCATTAAGCGCATAGCCGAAGCGCATTAAGCGATCTGAATTCTGGGGTCCCGCTACACCTAGGTTCCACGCTAGGAAAAAAAACTGCACTTTCCGCTTTTTTTACCTATATCTACCTATATTTATCTATTATATTTACCTCGCTTCTCCGTATCAAATGATAAATCTATGGAATCTTATTGATATGTTCCTGCTCGCCCTGAATCCCACAGACAGGTAGTTTGATGTTTCATCCCATCACAAAGTTCCGGAACCCCCTAGTCATTCGGCTCCTGGCCCTATGGCGAGGCCAGGCAAGCATGGACGAAATTGGAAGGAGAGTGCTGTCCATCACTGAACAGGACAAAATTAGACCCAAAAAATCGTTGGACGGTGTCAAGGTCCGTGTTAAGACTAGGCTGAAGCACACACACACAGACATATATAATAAATATTTATATAATATATATAATATACATACAGTATAGATCTCACTTTACCGCACTTCCAGATAAACCTTGCCAGGAGGTATGATGCCAAGGTTGTGCCGTTCCAAAAGTGGACTTGGCGGTTACACTGTGAAATTCAAAACTGCTGCAGCCAACTCATCAAGAGGACCAGCACACAAAATAGTGAAGGAATATCACGTTTATTTACCTTTGTTTGTCCAGTATATAATCACATATAATCCCAAGTAACTGCCGAACCTTTAAAACATTATATATACTAGTCGAACTATCAAGTGTCACAGGTAGTTCGAGAATGTTCTAGGCAGATCTAGGCACCTTCCCCATGGGTGTTTGGGACTTCACTGAAGGTCCCGATTCTAAAGAAAAACAACACCAGGAATTCGAAGGTTCAAAAATGGGTCCTAGCAACGCTGTTCGGCCTACTTAAAATCACTCCTCTGGATGCGTAACACGTTACCCCTCTGTTTTTGGCCGTCTCCGGTTAATCATGGCCAATCCGCAAATCTTTTGAACTAATCTGATTCATCTCTTCCATTTTTCTCATCAATTTGGTTCTTTTCAGTGAACTCCACCCGGCGCTCAGAACGAGTAACGACTGTCACCGACCTCGAAGCAGAAGTCGTCGGGATCAGCTGATAAGGGTTGACCGTGGTTGACCAACGGACCAACGGATTCCCGGGAGAGGTCATCATCCAATAAAAATTGAGAGTTTATGATAGTTTCTATGGATGATACCATGAGTAAGTAAGAACCAAAATGGATGAAAAGGATGATGATGATGATGATGATGTTATGAGATTGACTAAGAACTCATTCAATGGATCAAACTTATAAGATCATTAGGAATAATCATTGATAATCTTTCTGGACTAGGCATCACTACTAATCCCTTCCTCCTAATACTAAACGTCCCCCTAATACTAAAAACAGGCATCCATCTCCAATTTCCGAAAATTTCAGTTTGGCCAATTTGACTTTTAATTGATCCCCTTTAAAAAACAATTTAAAAATCAACCTACCATTTGTGGGTTCTCCCCCCTAATACTAAAAACTAGTTCACCCCGGGGTGTTTAGTATTAGGGGGGCCTAGTCCCAATCCCTCACTCCAAGCTGCCTAGCTACTCTAGCAATTAGGGGTAAGCTTCTAACTGCCATTTTGGCAATATTTTAATTGCGCTATATAAGGAAATTTAATTGATTTTGAGATCGGAAAAAATAGTTTTTAGTATTAAGGGTTTTAATTTAGTATTAGGGGTAAGCTTCGAACTGCCATTTTTGGCAATATTTTAATTGCGTTATATAAGGAAATTTAATTGATTTTGAGATCGGAAAAAATAGTTTTTAGTATTAAGGGTTTTTATTTAGTATTAGGGGTAAGCTTCGAACTGCCATTTTTGGCAATATTTTTTAATTGCGTTATATAAGGAAATTTAATTGATTTTGAGATCGGAAAAAATAGTTTTTAGTATTAAGGGTTTTAATTTAGTATTAGGGGTAAGCTTCGAACTGCCATTTTTGGCAATATTTTAATTGCGTTATATAAGGAAAATTAATTAATTAATTAACATGACTTCGATTTGGTTCCCTAATAATAAATACCCCCCTAATACTAAAAACTACCTGCCGTGTTTTGTATTAGGGGGGGGGTTTAGTATTAGGAGGAAGGGATTAGCATTGATCATTACTAAGCATCATAATCATCTAATTCCACTAAAATCACAATTCATAAACTTCCATTAGTTGGTTTATCCAATCATCCCCTCATTTTTCCCTCATGATTCTGCCGTTATTCCAATCGTAGTACTGGTCATTCCCGCATTCCCGGCTCCCGGCCTTCAACGTTGGAAGCGTCCGCCAGTGGCGCGTTCCATCTCAGCACCAGCCGCTGTCAAAAGTTTCACCACTTCCACCTAGCGGTAGTCGATCGATGGGAAATGCTCCGAAACCGTTGGGAAAATGGTCCCAAAATCCCCTGGTCGATGCGGGGAACCCTATGCCCTATGATGGCCACGCCGGGAGTGGATGCAAATCCCTTTGTTTTGGACAAACTTCGCAGCTGGCAACACCAACATCGAAGACCCGATTTTGCCTGTCCGGAGTCCAGGGCTAACTTCAAGGCGGATGCGCCATACTTGTTTCTCTTCTTCACGTTGGCACCTGCGATGGACATTCCTCCTCCTTTCCGGACCAATTGGTTGGTTGTGGGATTCATCCCATGCCATAGTTATGCCATAGTTGTATATAGTTGTCACAACTCCCATTGATAAATCATTCAACGGAATGATCAGCCCATCGACATGCAAGTCATTTTGCAAGTCATTGGACATGGTGATGGATGGTGACTATACTATGCCATTGGGTAAAATACCATCAGAACATGTCACTGAACCATTAAAGTACCATCAGTCACTATACCATCTTTACTGTAAACTATGTCACTATTATACACTCACTGGGTAAAGCATCAGTCACTACCCTCTGGTAAACTAACGTAACTATGGAGAATCACCATATTTCATGGGAAAACTCACTATTTCTATGGCCATTTTCAATAGCTATGTAACAAATTTTGACATAACCAGAGGGTAGGATCCCACTGATTCAGTAGCTTTTTGTATGTTTACCAGAGGGTATATACTATCCCATTGGTAAAATACCACAGAAAATCGTTCAGCGCCCAGTTCCCCAGTTCACCTGCTTGCACCAGCAGCTGAACCAGCTCTTCATGTCCTGCTTCCGCTGCTCGAAAGAGAGCCGTTGAACCTGGCAAATGGCGTCGACGTCCCATGGGGATGGAACGATAGGAACTCAAATATACTACCCTCTGGTAATTTAACATAGCTATTGACAATGGCCCATTTATAGTTGATTTACCTATTAAAGATGGTGATTTTCCATAGCTATGTTAGTTTACCAGAGGGTATGGAAAATCATGGGAATATTCATGGGGCGCTAAAATTCATATACAGTATAGCAGATTCCCCCAGAAGCCTGAGTTCAGTATTTAAGCTTGTCCGTTTGAGGGGCAACCAGGCTATCATGTTCTATCAGTTTGGGCCAAGAAACAAATATGACGGCGGAGGCGCATGACGTGCAGGTTACACTTGTATAATTTACCACTGTGCAATGCACATATACATAGATTACAAAAACACACATACAAATACATTCCTAGCATAAAAATCCTTGAAAATAAGTTCTATACATATATATATGTATCTGTAATATCAGATACCGATATGTAAAATATGCCCAAATTGATTATTTAACAGATCGCCATGGAAAATCATCACTTTAAATAGGTACATCATCTATAAATGGGTCATTTTCCATGGCTTGTCGACCCCGCCTTGCCCATCTTCTTGGTCCACCATGGCCTTTGACTCGAGCAAAAACCAGGCTGCCTTAAGGGGACAGCGAAGGGACACATACAAAGAGAAACATACTGTACTGATTATATAATAATGACTCATAATAATTAAGAGTGATTAATAGTGATTAATAGTGATTAATAGGTGATTATATAATAGAATATCATAGAATATCATAGAAAATTACATAATCACAATTACTAATTGTCATGCATAATATATCCCCTTATGCCGAATGTTATGGAATCAGAATTATCAATCATGTGTTTTCACACAAACATAATCATAGTTATTATATGTTATTATCTATCATCATTATTATTATCACTACTGTCATTATCTGACTATAAAAATTCTGGTCGTGTAAACAAACGGTGTCCACAGAACGTTTCCAGCGGGGTCGGCCTGTGGAATCACCCAGTCAGGAGGACCATGAACGTTTGAAACACCCATAAGGATACCCATTTTATGATCATTTTCTGGTGGAAAAATCATGGATAATATATAAATCATTGAACTTACGCAAGAAGATGCTATGGTCAAACACAATCCCACATATCACATGGTTTTTTTTGCCCCCCAACATGTGTTTAAAAAAAACCGTTGGTGGTTTCTCCAAGCCCAGCTATGGGCGAATCTGAATGATTCACAAACCTTCAATTAGTTCGGCCATTTCGGGATACCCTCTGGTAAACTAACGTAACTATGGAAAGATCCACCATTTTTCATGGGTAAATCCACTATATTGTTTCTATGGCCATGTTCAATAGTTTTTTCTATGTTTACCAGAGGAAAAGCACCATTTTGGATAGGTAAATCATCATAAACCCTCTATACATGGACCATTTCTAGTTCAGTCCCATCATTTTCGTGACGGCATCGTGAGGACCTGGCCAAGTTGCTTCAAACTGACTCTCTTCTGCTGCCCACATCAGGGCTGACGCCCCATGCAAGCCGCGATGGTTCACATCCGCTCGCCTCACCGCCACACGTGGGAAGAGGGCCATGTCATAACATGAGATAGGCCCGCTTACTTGAATCCAAACATCATATGTATACATGCCTACATACTCACTTAATACTCACATTACATTTCGTTACATTATATTACATTACTTTGCATTGCATTACACTACATTACATTACATTACATTACAAAAAATGCATACATTACCTTACCTTACCTTACCTTACATTACATTACATTACACCCACCACTCCGCACCGCACTACACCACACCACACTACACTATACTACGTTGCCTAGATACATATACATACAATGCATTACATCAAAGTACACCATATCACATCGCATCGCATCACATTGCATTACATGCATAAAAGAATACATCCCAGCACCTCGCGCTGCATGTTTGCTTGCCTGCTTGTTTGGTTGTTTGTGTTGGTTGCCTTTATCGGTGTCCATAGCTTATTTTTCTGGCGGTGGCAATGGTAATGGTGGTGATGATAGTCGAACATATCACATGTCAAATCTACACAGTACCAATTACCCTCTGGTAAACTAACATAACTATGGAAAATCACCATTTTCAATGGGAAAACTCACTATAAATGGCAATTTTCAATAGCTATGTTAAATCACTAGAGGTAACCCAGCTTGCAACCCAACAGCAGGTTCCATGCTTCTACGGTTCCAAGTCCAGGACCCAAACCCAGAGATAGAAACCCAACAAGCACTGTGACTGTGGCACTTTCAAAGATTATAATATATAATATATTAATATATTATTATTATATACTATACTCCCATAGTGGACTATATACCCAAGATATACCCAAGATTATAATATACTCTAATCCCATTACTATAGGTATCAGTCCATAATATAGTCAACGTTGGGACTCGCCCAGTGACGCCGCGAGCAAGCAGCGCAAGACACTGCAGTGCCCGGCCCCAGCAGCTGACATCAAGGCGGTGGCATTTTGCTGGGTCTCCTACGGCACTGTTTGACTGGCAAAACATGACAAACATCTGTGGGTATGGGTCAATACCTATAGATACCATGTTTAGTGGGTTATTCACATCCATGAATCCCAGCTATTTTGATGTGAACTACAGGGGTACCAGGGTTTTGACCAATAGCCATGTGGCTATGGGTCAATTTATTCAAGACCTGGGGGACTAAGTCATAAGTCGCTTGAATATTCTATAAGAACGCACTGTTTTTTAGAATTTGAGGGGCTCGGATCCAATGCGGGCTATACATTTTCAGCTATACCAAGCACATAATACTTTCAGAATTTGAAGGACCCTGGGATAGGATTGCCAAATTCTTAAATTATATAGTATTTATACGTGAGGTTTTGTAGCGGCGCTTCTGCAGCTTTGGGTTTCCACCTTGCAGGGCCGGCATTGGCAACCATGAAAATGAGATTTCCTCGACGCCACTAACTCTAAAGCGCAAGGCAGCACCACCGGTCAGAATCGAACCCGCGACCCCGCCTCAACTGTAGGCACAAAACAAGCTATGCCCAACAATGACAAGAGTTTGGAAAGCCAAGAAACTGCAAGGAAACCGTTCACCCCACCCCAACCCACCCGCCCGCAACCGCCCCACCCGCACCTGACCCGCCCCACCTTTACGGATGCTATTTTGCCTCAAAGGACCTGCTCCCTAGAGTTGCCGCTGCTTTGCTGCCTAGCCCGTGAAAAGAAGCACAGCTGTTGCAAGGAAAGAACGCGAAACCATCGCGCTACTAACTGAGCTATCGGGCTTTGCAGAAAAACAATTTTTCGCTTCTGAAAAATTGTCTTTTCGCATTCCCCTTGCGGAATGAAATAGAATGAACCTTTTTCCAGGGATTGCAGGGGTCAAGCCAAGCACTGCGAAAAAAAAAACGCGATCTATTTTTTGTTTTGGCACTGGCCTTGTGAGACTCAGAAATGAGATGTTGCAACTCCTCTTTCTCTGTCCCCAGACCAACCAATAAGACAAACCCGGCTTTGCAAAAAATACAATTTTTTCAGGCTCTGAAAAATTGTTTTTTTTCGCATTCCCCTTGTGAAATAAAAGCGAATGAACCCTTTTTGCGGGGATTGCAGGGGAATGAAATGGAATGAGCTCTTTGTGATGTGAAATCAGATTGTTTTTGGACTGCGATTGTGGGATGGGAAGAAAAGTTGCAAATCCCCTTTGTGGTTCCCTTTTTGTGGAATAACCCCTTGTAGAATGAAATCGGGCTTTGCAAAAAAAAACATTTTTTTAGGATCTGAAAAATTGTGTTTTGTTTTTTTCACGCATGCTTGCACTGCTTCCAGTCCACTCAAAATCAATATTTGGAAACCTGAAACATTGCTTTACTCCAATAACATGATGAAACTGAACCTTTTCGTGACTGTCTTAAATCTGCGCAAACCCCACCTCGACGTTGACCTTGCTAAATCTGCTAACTCCACCTCAAAAAACCTCTTTTGACCTCGCTCTAAATTGCGCAGATATGTATAATACACAAATAAGAATGTTCTAAGAATCTGAGGGACCCTCGACCTTCTATGGTGGAAATGTTCCTGTATATAGAAATAATTTGAGGGCCCTGGGCCTCAAACTTTCGGATTCTTAACCAACTCTCGGGTTGCCATCCAACTATTTGGGTACCCGATTTCGACCCATGTGGTAAAACATGGTAAACTGTGCGTGGTAGATCCATGAGTTTTTTAACAGTTTTGTCGGGTTTATCATGGTCTACCACATGACCAAATCTTGCGTCGTGATGTTTACCCAGCAAAATTAGATCTTCACCCCTTCGGTGATCATGGATTCTTGTGCACTCGTCTGGTCGCGACTCACTTCCAGCCCAATGGGTGAAAACAAAGACCCTGGAAATCCCGGAAAAAAAAAAAACTGGACTTGTTAGCCCTATGTTTTCCTATGTTTTCCTCCTGGAAATGGCCAAAATCACCTGGTGATGTTCAACCCTTCGAGAAACAGCTGGCAGCTCGTCGAGCTTGGCCTTCTGGATGTCGGCTCTGGCTTTGATCAAGCGGTGCACCAGCGCTTCACGACCCTCGCGTGCTGCCCAGATCAGCGCCGTGGCACCCCTGAGATCCACACATCCAGAGCAGAGGATGGAAAATAGCACGATGGTTCAATCAGTTTCACGTTGACTAAAATGTGGTATAATGTGGTATAATATGGTATAATGACAATGATGTATAATGTTCATTAGTGGGCAACAACATCTGATCCAAGATGATCCAAGCTCCAATTTGTGCAGTTGAGATGCTGACAATCGCACTGATTCACCTCCGCACCTTCCTCCAGGAGGAAATTCACCACGGCCGAATGGCCAAAGCGAGCCTGAGGGCCCGGCCAAGTTGCGACGCTTCTGGCTGGTTCAATCCCATTGATTTTGGGACACAGAGCCACACAAAAAAATCCGGGATGTTTTTTTTAAGTGTCCCCATTTTGGAGTAGTGCGTCATATCTACCACTGATTCATATTGTATCTACCATAAACATCCATGAACCATAGAATTGACCTACGGTCGTAGTTCGACCAGGTTGGCACTTCGGGGGCAAAAACACCTGGCATCCCCAGCTTTTCACCGGCCAAGTTGCCGCTCGCATCAGGGCCGTCTCGTCCATGCAATCGCCCAGATTCACATCAGCAGACTCAGCGAAGAGGTGACTCCCCTAAATCCATGGGTCCCGAGAAAAAAATAAGCATTTAGAGGTAGACACACCCAGGTAGTGTGGGTGAATCTACTTACAACATCTTAGAATCATGAAATAGATCTGCTTAGAGGTTCTACCATAGCAATCCATAGCATATTAATCCATTTCAGATGAAGCGAAGCTAGTCATGAAATATACTGTATCAACCCAATCAACCCCCAAAGTAAGAAAAGTAAAATCCGCATCTAAAATAGAGGTTAGTTACTTTTCTAATATGTTCTATCTTTTTGCGGGTTACTCAACATGAAAATGTCATGAAATGTCTTAAGTTTCGTAGATCAGGATGCTAACGAAGTTTCCCCTTCCCGACATCTGCATGTTTTGTTCAGGTTCTTCTGCAATTTCACTTCTACTGCTTGGTGGTTTCAACCCCTCTGAAAAATATTAGTCAATTGGGACCATGATTCCCAATATATGGAAAAATAAAATCCATGTTCCAAACCACCAACCAGTCGAGTATGAAGATATCATCCATCATTACACTGAAACGGCTTCTCTGTTTCCATCTCATCTTGACCCAGAAATGCACACGAAAATGGGAACGATCTATGTCCAACTCATCTTGACTCACCCAGAAACGCATAGATAATGCAGAAAAACAGTCCATGTTCGACCATATCCTCATTGCATCCCACTATATATAGCTCCATTTAATCCAAGTAGTGAAGCAGTTTGGAAGTCTCAGCTAAGCAGCCGGACATTGGGCTGAGCAGGCTGACAGCAGGAAAAACCTCTTTAAGAGGGAAAAAAACCTGCCAGTGGTGACACTCTCCCGTAGGGAGCAAACCGTGACAAACATTGCCCAAGGGGTAAGGAATCACTTGACGTGGGAAAAGGAACCTGCACACCCCCCCGCCAGGCGTGCAGAGACCTCACCACAAGAAGCAAACAGCACAGAAGCTTACCCCAAGGCCTAGGGTAACACCACGGCTACTCACTGAACTCACTGGGCGCAGGCGTGTCGGAGAAAGCAGCAGGGGCGGGACGGGAAGCAGCAGCAGCAGGCGCAGCCACGAAGCAGCAGCGCGGAAGACACTTACAGGCATGTGGCCAGAAAGGCCGATCCAACCTCATGAAGGGCCAACCTGCTGGTCTCGCTGCGAAGGCGTTGCTTCATACAGGCTCCATGCAAGCCTCGCTGTAGGTCAATAGACAAACGGACTCGCAGTTCCTGCCAAGAGTGACCTGGGGGGAGGTGTTCCTTAGCATCCACAATTTTGCACAAAGATTCTAAAAGTTTGCACGTGTCGCCATGGTACCCTCCAGTCCTCTCAAGGACCAACGGCTCGAAACCAACGTTTTGGCGCTCGCACCGCGCTCGCATGTCAGCATGTTTGCGCTTCAAATCAGCGTACCGATCCGCGGCAGCAGCGTGCGCAGCAGCAGCAAGGCGCATGGTGTTGTGCTGGAAAGGGGAAGTGATAGCGCAGTCGAGAGCAAGCTTGGGGAAGCGACGCCAGGATGACTGCTGCACATCGGGAAGACTGATAATCAAAACGTCGGCAGGCCGGGTTTGCGGAGCATCGGGCAGCAAGTTCGCGGGTTCGAGGAGGGGTCTCGCGCCAGCGCGTACGGCAAGACGGTGGACGACATTGCGAAAACACGTGTGCATTTGTTGTTTATGTCCCTGCCCCATGCATCCCATGCAGTGGTGGCCATGTCGGTCAAGATTTTGCTGGCAAAAAGAACACGCCATACCATCATCAAAAATCTTAACTCCCAACCGCATAGAAAGAACATCGCGGAATTTACTTCGGGAATTTCCCATAGAACGCCATCCCCCTGCCCCAATCTGGAGGTTTCCAAAAATGGGGATACCCCCAAATATCCCTAAATCATCCAGTCGTCGTGAATGACTCTATGACTTAGCATTGAAACCTATGGTGACGACTGGGGATCCCCATTATCAGAAACACCCAATCTGGACGAGATGCGGCTTCCACCAAAAACTTCACCACCTCCGGCTGCCCGAGCTTAGAGGCAATACATAGCACAGGCGTGCCGCGTAAGGCGCAGTTGGGTCGCTGTCCTGGAAGATGTGCCGCGTAGGGCGATCAAAAGCTGGGATTTACTGGGCTGATTTCATGATTTTCATGGGATTCAACCATCGAATTTACCCAATTTTTCATGGGATTCAACCATCGAAATTCACAGGGAACCGATGATTCATGGGGTTCGTCTAAAAACGGGGCTGCCAAACATGCCTTAAATTGGTCGGAGACCCGCCTTGAGACAAGATCCTCTCCACATCCAGACGGTTCTCTTTGAGCACAGCCTGTAGCTGCATGCCCGGTACACTAGGCTCAGAATGGACTGGCGAGAAAGTTTCCAATCCTAGTTGGAATATCAGTGAATATAATCTTACGGTAGACGGTAAAAGAATCTAGACAATTCATGGCTATGTTTGGGTGCATCTGAACATGCGGTATGGGATGCCAATGGTTATATCTGAAACAATGGAAATTCAGGGGTGCCCACCATTTTTGGTGAAACCCAAAAAGATGTCCAAATGTCCTGGGTTTGTTACCCTCCCCAATTAACACAGACCTCGCCGAATAGGGGGTTCAAAAAAGTAGATTCCACCAAAAATTGGTTATGTTCATGGGTTTTTCGCTCGAGTTTGAAACAATTTATCATTTATCTGGTTCCCCACCATCAACCCCTTTCTTTGGTTTCTTCAATCCGGGTAAATTATGACAGTTCAGTGACCCATTATTTATTTAAGGTTTTTTTCGGGATCGTTCACCCTATGAGGCCCTACAATTCCCATTATTCCAGGTTTCGGTCGCAGTGAAGTCATTCTAAGTCACAATTTACCCACATTCAATGCCTGGTTTGCCGCTTTCCCGCCTGAATCAGCTGATTGTCTTGAGAGTCGTCGCCAGCATAGGGGCACTGAACCGCCGAAAGATGCCCAGGACTTCCTCGCGGGTGTCCAGATTCGGTTCCACTCAAAATGGTTTCGTTTCAAGGTTTATGTTAGTTTAATAGGGAGTAACTGGGGTGTAAAGTCTGGCAATCCCCAAAAAAAACGAAAAGTAGGAAACCTGCAAATATGAAGAATATAAATATATATATATATTAACCATTACCAGTAGTACCGCACAAGGCGGTGCCGGAAGTTTCAACGATAGGACACTATAGGAGAGGTGAGTTGCTGCGATGCATGGATGGCAGAGCGATTCCACTGATGGACCGAAAGGTGGTTGGAGTTGTTTTTGCTCACGCCCAAGGTACAGCCCCGTGGAATATGTTTGTTTTTAGCAAACATGGGTTGTGGTGGGGTGGGGTGGGATGTTAACGTTCATGTTACGCTGATGATGTTACGCTGCTCGTGGGGGTTGGGGTGGGGTGGGGTGGGATGTTAACGTTCATGTTACGCTGATGATGTTACGCTGCTCGTGGGGGTTGGGTGGGGTGGGGTGGGATGTTAACGTTCATGTTACGCTGATGATGTTACGCTGCTCGTGGGGGTTGGGGTTTGGGATGTTGGTTCGCTGACTCGTGGGGTTGGGGTGGGGTGGGTGTTAACGTTCATGTTACGCTGATGATGTTACGCTGCTCGTGGGGGTTGGGTGGGGTGGGGGGGATGTCAACGTTCATGTTACGCTGATATGGTACGCTGCTCGTGGGGGTTGGGGTGGGGTGGGGTGGGATGTCAACGTTCATGTTACGTGATAATGTTACGCTGCTCGTGGGGGTTGGGGTGGGGTGGGGTGGGATGTTAATGTTCATGTTACGCTGATGATGTTACGCTGCTCGTGGGGGTTGTGGTGGGGTGGGGTGGGATGTTAACGTTCATGTTAGGCTGATGATGTTACGCTGCCCCTGGGGGTTGGGGTAACGCAAACACGTTGAAGAAGCTGGCTGAC